AGTTTTAATTATATCCCATTGTATAGGGATATTTCAGAGGGAATACTCTAGTACAGCTGTATGCATGCGGAATACATAACAATACGTTCATTAATTAAGTTTGGGTATCCCAGTTTATCTATGAGTATAAGCATCAAATTGTTGAAACATCGACAAAGAACATGTACATGCATTAATAAAAATTGTATGATTTGATGCATGATATTGTTCTGTTATCATATGCAGTGTACATGTACATTTGGTAGAATGCTGTACTTCAGTATACATAATCAAAATAATGTCGCCATGAAACTGCAAATAAATGCTTTATTTAGAATTAGGAAAGAAAATGATTTTTCACTTAATACTGATATTAATTAACTTTATAAAAATACGCCGAGAGGTCGATCTATGTTAAAAGAAGAGTTTGTTTATATATTTCTTTAATTGATTAGACATATAGTACTCTAACCCCCCGTTCACACATAGACACCGCTTCTACTACGATCAAAGCGTGGCCAAAAGCGTAGCCGATCGTGTCAAATCGCAGGAGAAACGTCGTGGAGTCGTCATAAGCGTAGTATGATCGCAGTAGGGTCTTCATCGGAGAGCTCTAGGCTCTCACCACGCTTATTTTGAACATGTTCAAAACAAGCGTAGCGGGATCGTGGCCAACAAGAATCGGGGTTAAGTCGTAAAAAGAGCGTAGTAGAAGCGCCGCAATCGTACAAGCAGCGCGGAAGCATAGTAGAGAGACCTTCGTGATCGTAGTAAAAGCTCCGTAAGAGCGTAGGAACTTACCAAGTACGCTCATACAACGCTCCTTCTACGTTCAAACTACGTTCTCACTACGATCTCTCTACGTTCCTGAAGATCCTACAAAGACCTACAATGACCTTACGCCGATCATATCACGACCTAGTAGAAATGAGTTTGTTCTTATAGCGCTGATATTTGACCAGTCATCATCTATAAACTACATGTAAAGGGTGACACTATACTTAATGATAATTTGCCACTGAGACTTTTCACATCTTGTTACAGTTACAATTGAAAATGCCCGTAAAACATGTCGTAAAGCCCGCAAAAAAAAAAAAAAAAAAAAAAAAAAAAACTGCGGTCGCAAGATATGTATCATCGCTAAAATAGTACTACAAAAATCTGCGGTTGCAAGATATATTTACATCATCGCCAAAATCGTACTAGAAGCGTAATGCAATCTTAATATGTTCGGCAACACCGTAGCGACATAGCGGTACGGTCATAAAGGTCTGTGTAGCGTCGTAGTATGGTCTTCAGTGTCGTAGTGGCAACGTAGCGTAAACGCAGTAAACACGGCTGCTTGTCGGCAACGGTCTGCGTAACATCGTAGTAGAAGCGTGTTAGCAGCGCGTTTGACGTAGGGACATCGTAGTGCGGTCGTAACGAAGACCATAATTTGCCAAATTGCTCTATTTAGACGCCGATCGGCTGCGATCTGCCCCGATCCAAAAAATTTTCAGATCGTGGCTTGATCGGGATGATCGTAGAGTCGCAGCTCTGTGTGAACGGGGGGTAAAGAAGATATTAAAGGGATACGAAAGTTTCCTATTTATCTATGTAGTATTTCAAGACCTGATCTCTTGAATATTAATTTTTATTCTGTATCAACCAACGGACTTTAATATATTTCTGAGGAAGAATTTATTCAAACCCTTCCGAATGAGGAGAAAAAAATGTAGCTTTAAATTAATCGACAACATTAATCAATTGAGAAAATCATTATAATTATATTATAAGATTGAGGGGCAATATGAAAACCATGTATCCTTCTGTATTAAATAATCCAGAGTTGAAAAAAGAATTAGATAGATAACATGATCAGTACGTACTGGTCCCTGCTGAAAAAGCAGGTAACAAAATACTAGTAGTCCTTGTTTGAAGGCTCATTTTATAAATTGTAGTTAAGAAGAACAAAAGTTTAATTCTACATGTGCTTATTCAACTTAGCTGCTTTTTTTCAAATGAAAGTGGAACTTGTAAATTTACTTACCTTGTCATTGGTCATTTGCCAAATTATATATATTATAAAATGTATTTATATTATAAAAACGACATTCTGATTGTACTCTGAAGTTGACATCGAAAAAATGCTTGGGTTTCTTATTGACAATATATGTTTAGTTTTTGGGGACCTGCAGGTCTTCCAACTACATATTGGAATTCTCGTGGGTACCAATTGTGCCCCATTATTAGCAGTTTTCTTTTTGTATTCATATGAAGCAGAATTTATCCAAAATCTTATACGTGAAAAGAAGAAATCACTTGTTGTAGCCTTCAACTCAAGATTTAGATTTATCGACGACGTATTGTGAATTAACAATGATTATTTCCATTTTTATGCCGATACGATATGTTCTGGTGAGCTTGAGAAAAAAAGATACTACAGAGTCTGATACAACTGTTTCATATTTAGATATTTTACTTGAAACCAAGCTCTATGATAAAAGTGAAGACAAACTTTTCAATCGTCAACATCCCTTGCTTTATGGATCTTTATCATTTGCATTTGGGGTTTATATCTCTCTGTTCATTCGATACGCAATAGCATGCTCTACGAATGAAGATTTCTATATGGAGGTACATTATTGACAAACAAGTTGATAAAACAAGAGTATCAGCAGTCTCGTTTAAAGTCATCATTTCTTAAGTTCTATGGTCGATGCAATGACATTGCAGCAAGTTCAATTTATTGTTGAGTCAAATGCTGACAGACGTTTTTCATACTTATTGTTAAACCATTATTTACACACTGAATTGACGATTGATTTTTCCGTTTTTTCTGACAAAAAGCACACGTCGGGTTTTGATCGGTCAGCAGGGTATGCTCACTCCTCCATGGCACCTGATCCAAACGTTGATGCTTTAGAGGTCCTAGTGTGCTGTGCTCCAAAATTTGTATCGTTTAATGGGCAGTGAGCTTGAACATTATTTCATAGAGGGTTAATTTAACAATCTAAATATAATGTGCCCTCTCGATGATAAATTGCATTGTATCGATCTTATAATTTACGACTTAAGATGAGACTACTGTTATTTTCTTGTATCATCTACTTACTTTCATCACTTACCTCGTTTTAAAAATTGTTCATACGTAGCTCATGCTCTTGCTTATCGAATAAGCTAAGAGATATAAAACCCGAATGCAGGTTATAAAGGTATATTGCTACATGTAAAGAATGTTGACGATTGAAAAATTTAAATCATCAGGTTTATCATTAAGGCTGGTTGTTAAATCATCATTAACTTATTTTTCTAGTAAAATATCCAAATATGAAACAGATGCGTCATGCTCTGTGATATCTTTTATTTTGAGCTCACTGGGATATACCGTGTCGACATAAGAATGGAAATAAATATCCTACTAATATTTTAGACAGATAATCCGTGCGTATTTGAAGAACGTACTATTCCATCCCATTAAAAACAAAATCACTGATAACAATAGAGAGTAAACAAAAGTGAAGAGCCGGGTGTGTTCAGTTCTAATATGTTACGCCCTTCTATTGATTTTTAGAGTTTCACATTTGTTTGTTTTTATAAGAAGCAACGGTGTTGTGTATTGGATTGTAACGTTTGTGTGTTTTCTGAGCCAAGTATGTTATTAGTACAACTAGTACACAAAATATAAATTATATCATTTGAAAAAAAAATGTTATAATAAGTTTTTGGTCCATTGTTAACAATTACAACCTTGTTGTTATATTGTTAATGAAATGGAGAAGATGCCCGTTGTCCTATCCAATCCGATTTTCTGAAATAAAGCAAGTTTACAATAAGTGACTTAGCTCCACAAAGAAGTGATAATTTTTGAATGAATCAAATGTAAGTATAGAACATCGAAATTAAAATTGGAAAATTTTACATTTTTCTTGAGAAGTTTAATAAAATGCCACGTGAAGCGTTGTTGTTGTTCTATTTTAAAACTGGAGGAAAATTTGAGGAATTCAATTCTAGCTTATTTTCAATTTATACTGTGATAATAATTTCTAAGAATAAAAAAGTTATTAGTATAAAGTTATTATTATTTTTTGTATTTTTTTTACAAAATATTTTTTTCACAGCAGATGAAGATATACAGAAGTTGTAAACAAAATATAAAATGCCATAAGAAATAAGCCTTAAAATATTCCCCAAAAATCAATATATTGTTGACGTTTTAATTTAATGGAAACTATACTTATGCATATGTATGTTGTTGACTTCACGTACATATTTTGTTTAAAATTGAAAAAAAATGTACGGAAAATCGTAAAAGGATATAGGATAATTGGAATTTCTTAACCCGAAAAGTGCTTATTTTCAATATATAAAATTTAGCCGGCTTTTGATATAATTTATGTGCATATATACACTATACGCATTGAAGAAATGTAAAACTATGGAAAAACTCAACAGCGCACAACTTGCTCCCAGCACTTTTCAAAATAGTAGGGACAATAAAGTTATTATTATTTACGTTTTTGTATAAAAGTGCTTGAATTATAAGAGACCTAATAGTTATCAATTAAATAAGACTGTGAACTATTGATAAATGCATTCAAAAATATTAATCAATTATAGTCATATCATGCTTACTTAGATTTAATTTTTATTTTTTCAGTTCAGCTAATAGCTTTATCTGCGTCTCAAGTACAGAGAAACTGCGTGTCAAACAAAAATATACAGCGAGATCAAGTTGGCTTTGATTTTACTAATAGTGTTGTAATGACAAATATACACATTGATTAATATTCACAATAATCATGAGAAATCAAAGTATGTAGGAGTATATGAAAAAGAAAATAATTATTAAGTCGCCGAGATTCATAATTGTACAATTTCACCGTGACGTCATAATCAAACAAAATATTTTGCCCTTAACCCAGTTGCGAAGTTTGTTTAGGTTTTAATTATGTCACACATAATGAGGAACTATTAGTCTGCAAGTGACACATCATTATCCAAACTGGAGATAACAAACTCTCGTCATAAGGCACGGTACCGGTGGTAGAAAGCGCCCGGCTTATCAGGTCCTCAGCACCTCTGCAACAGTAGTCCCAGAGATTAGGAAACCTAAACTCATTGTTTAAAAGAATTTAAGCGGGCTTGATTCATTATTTACATTTGTTTATGCCATAAAAGGGCTAGCTGGAATAAAGTTCGTGTCTGAATTACTAGGCGGGTACCGCCTCCCCCTGAAATTGGTCAGATCTTATGTTAAAATAACTTTACTATGGATTATAAATCTTAGAACTGATATCAATAGAGTTTTTTTGTTTTGAATGTGAAGAATATGGATCTCAGAAGAAATGCTTTAGGAATTGTTCTTCTTGTTTGTATTTTTGTTTCTCTATCACGGCAGGTAAGTTGATTTTTTTTAGATATTTTATTTTCAATAAGTAAATGCTCTATATTATTTTTTTTAATTGATTTTGGAAAAATAATGTATTTTGAGGAAAAACGTGGGATGCTTTCAATGAGTATATTATTTTTGTCATTTACTCCAAAGTGAAAAAATTAATCCGGAGACATAGCAAGTAAATTACAAAGAATACAAAAAAGAAAAAGAAAGAAAGGTACTGTTAATAAGAGTATTCTTGTCTGGTGATTGATGGAGTTTAGACATTATCCGAAACACAGGATGTATAGAACCAGAAGGGGCTAGGAATGGGACTTAATGTTATGTATCTAGGAGAAAATAAACTTCCACAGATACTTAGATGTCCGATGTCTGGTCAGATTTATAAAAGAAGTTAAAATAATGACATTTACTTAGAAACACGAGCATGTGTTCAGTGGAATAGGGAATTCTTTACATAAAGTGGCTAAACATCCTCACAAAGGACGATAAAAAGGATGCAAGAAAGTTTAAAACTGAATTTTTATGAACATAATATACTACCTAGTTAGATCTGTTAGAAAAAACGGTATAAATTTGTTAACTTGTTTTGTTAGACATCAAAAATTTTGTTAACTTTGTCACAAAAAACATCATTAAGTTTGTTAATTTGATTTGTTAAAAAAATATATAACTTTGTTTTAAAATCTTTATAAGTTTTGTTATCTGATGGACATACGATGCTGAAAACGTGTTGTTTTTTAAATTTACAAACAATTTGTAGAGACATTTTCCTTTAGAAACATTATTCTTCAATATACATGTATACTTGAGAATATTTCGAAAGATCGATTGAAGCATTAATATAACTGTTATTGTTTTGCATTGAATTGATTTCAGCATGATGTACAAATATCTAATCAGAAGGGGGAATGCAATATTTTTAGACAAATTTCGTGATAGATGTGTCTATGCAATAAATAGCCTGTCCATTTTTACGAATATACATGTATTATCCCATGTACCTAAACATTTGTGACTCATATTTTATTTCACAGACCATTATTGGAATTTGTTAAAAGTTTTAGGCAAAAAGAAAAATATTCATAACAATAATTTTCCATAATCCAGAAAACGGACCAATGCGCTAAAATGTGATTTAATTGGCTAGACTTTATTGATATGCGATTTTGTACATACTTTATATAGATACATTTTACACTAAAATGATCCAAAAAGAATTTGTTTTTAACTTGTGTTTACTTAAGTCTTTTATTATTTTCAACACCAATTACTCAATTTCAAGCATTAATGAAATAAAACTTTTTTTCATTCTTTTTTTCGTTTTTGAGGAGAGCACCAGGGCGACTTTGTTTATCACTCTAAGGGAATACAACAACACAAACAGCGAACTGTTTGATGGAAACTGTTGTGATGGACTCGCCGTGTCAAACAAGTGCAGCTCAGACAGGTGTGATTACGTCATCAAAATATGTGTATCTCCAGATGAAAATGGGTGAGTAAAATCTTTATCTATGTCAAGAGTAGTTAAAATTGAGTGATAAAGCAACCTCTGGTTAAGAGTTATAAATGCTAAAATGAAATGCCAAGTCCCTTTGCAAGGGGAGATTAAAAAAAAGACAAGAAAAGGTTGGATTATTAAAAACTCTTCTCAAGAACCACTGGGCCAGAAATTCTGAAAAGCTGATGCTTCCTGTGAAAGCATCCTACTGTAGTGTAGATTGTTAATTGTTAACATCATGACCCCGGGTGTAGGGCAGAGTCACAATATGGAATCCAAATTTTATATATTGGGATCTTTAAAAATCTTCTGCTTAAGCACCACTAGACCAGAAAAACTTAAACTTATGTGGAAGCATCTTGGGGTGTTTAGATTTTAAATTATCTAACAACCAAGCTATGATAAACGTGATGACTTTTACTTTTCAATCGCCAAGAATATCAGCAGTCTCGTTTAAAGTAATCATTTGATACGTTCTATGGTCGATACAATGACCTTGTCGGCAAATGCAATTTATCATTGAGTCAAATGCTGACTGACATTTTTCATACTAATTGTTTCGAGGACCGTGTTTGCTCTGCTCCTATTTTTTGTATTGTTTTATAGACTTCTGATCTTGAAAACTGTTCGTTATCTCCATATATTTCATCCAAAGCATGATCCCTGGTGGTAGGGTGGAGTTACAAAACTATTACAATAGGTATTACAAGGTAGGGAATCTGGTTAAGAACAGCATGGCCGAAGTTACACAGGCAGCGATTTGGCCAATACCTATCATAACTTTAGAAATTTACTCAATTTATAAATGAATATCTGTTTCAAAAAAGCAACCAAATGGAATTATATTATTATTATTTTCATGTTGACCTAAAAGTGTTCATCTATTTCTTTCAAAAATATTCCTTCAATTCAAGAAATAATGAAATTATTAGAAAGTCTTTCTATGCAATTTTACATAGTCTATGAACAAATATTATGAATACTTACACCAACATTATCAAAATATTGCAATGAAGAAAACAATTTGGAATTTTCTGTAAAATGCAAAACTTGTCACATTTGTTTGAGTTGCCTGAAAGTCATACAACACACTGTTTACAAAAACAGTAAAAGGAATTTGTTTCCTTGTTATGAATGCCTGCACTTTTATTCATTGTTTGGACAAACAGACAGAACAAGGAAGTGTATTTCTTTTATCGAATTTATTTCTCAAAATATATATGTTTGACAGCAAATCGCCATACGTTAGTCTTTTTTTCATTTTATCTCAATTAACTCCATTAAAAAAATATTGAAAATAAAAAAAATCCCCAAACATTAGCATTAGAAAGGAAAAAAGAACAAAATATGTTTTCGCTAAACTTTCCCGAATTTTTGAAACTTTCTTTTCCTTTGAAATGCTCAAATGCAAAATCTCCTGTTCCGACAATTTAAGACATCAACCTCAAAACTCAAAACATTTTAATAAATATGAACCATATAGGCCCTAAATTCATCTTCATTCTTAATGAATGAATCCACATCGACATGAAATGTACATATTAAGATATTTTCAATTTCTAAAAGGAAATTGCGAATAATCTTGCATTTTAGGATGTTATATCCATAAACATTGAGCTGCAAATAACGTTACAATATCTTTTTTCAAAAAGACATTTTTCAATGATAGTGAGAAAAATAACTTATGATTCACTTCCGACTAAATATTGTAGGTACAGTTGATTGAGAACATAGAAATGATATATATTACATACTTAATTTTGTCTAAACACTGGCATTGTCATTACACAGACATTCGTAGTATTAATCATCAGAATGATTGTACACGTATTCAAACTTCAAATATATAATACTAACAGTCTATTGTTTCCCTTTATTTATTCCCAGTGTTTGCTTTCTTTCTTTTTTTATCTTTATAAAAACATTTTCCCAACAGAAAGTGGTGTCAGTCTACAGAATTAAACGCAGATCAACCCCCGGATCTGGTGTTCCTGGATCAGACACCAAGAGAGCTGCCTATTGCAGAATGGAAGGTTGTTTATTTAAAAAATGGATGAAAAATTAAAAAAACAACAATTTTTTCCAAAACGTTTAAGAGAGTCTAATAGCAGTGCCTGATAAGACCACTGTTTAACACACATTGTTTTGTACTATTTTCAACTTACATATAAAATGCATTCAATTCAGAATGTTGGTAAACTCCAGGTTTATGAAAAGTAATTACGTTTCCTCCTCATTTCTAAAGCATCATTGTTGAAAAAAGGGTTGGTCGTTCTTCGAAAGTTTAATGATAGTCATCTCTTTCTGCTTTCAGATACACTTGAATAGATTTTTTTTATTTATAGGGGAGTGCACGTGTGGACATCAGTATAACAGACATTGATGGTCCTTCCACACAGCAACTGGTCGATAGGTTCTCCTTCAATTACACAGAAAAAGGAAGTAAGATTCCCAAACCCCGGGAACTTCTATTGAAAGGGAAACGCCCAAAGCCATCAAGGTATATCAAATACCAGTACTTCATACAATTTACAATTGACGTACAGATTTCTCTGTGTTAAGGTAATCATTTTAAGTTGATCCATAACTGTATTTAGACTGAGACTGTCAATGGCGATACAGTGCCAGACCTACTACTATGGTGACGAATGCTCCGTGTTCTGTATCCCCTCTGTGGATTGTAAAGGTCACTACAGGTGTGACGAGAATACCGGGGCCAAAATCTGTGACCAGGGCTGGGAGGGAAAGGACTGTACCAGACCAATAGGAGATGGCAGCTGTCCAGGTATAGCACTAAAATACGGTTACAGGAAGCTATGTTCCAATACAAATTATTAATAGTAACAGTCAGAGATTTCATTTTGATAATTAAGATATGCTCTTTTTATATGATTAAATTAAGGAGTTCTTGTTACTTTTCATTAAAACAAACAAAAATTGCAGGACAACATTGTGAAAATGGTGGGACTTGCTCTATGGATAAATTCAGCAACACAACTAACGATGTCTTTTTCTGCTGTTGTCCTCCTGGTTATACCGGTAACAGGTGTGAAATAGATCTAGACGAATGTAGACAAAACCCCTGCCAGTATGGTGGAACTTGTCGAAACACTCCAGGGAGCTACATCTGTAACTGTCACCCAAGGTATCAGCATCTCAAAAGATATAGTTGAAATATATTTTATCTGATTTAACTTATAAAGTCATTAACATTCCAGACCAAGGTTTCAGTTTCTTTTTCTTTAAAGTATTATTAATGCAACAACTGTACTTAATATAGAATCAGAGGAAATGTGTAAAAAATTTGCTTTCTCAAAATATAAGTATTTTGTTTTTTGACACACATTATTAGATATCGCGGAATGAATTGTGAAATTCCAACAACATGTAGAGACAACCCATGTGTTCATGGAAAATGCTCTGATGCAACAAACGGTACCTTTACCTGTCATTGTGGTTCAGAATTTTCTGGAATGTTCTGTGAAAATGTAATAACAACCACAACCAGAAGCACCTCTACCACATCAACAACAACAGAATCCACGACAACCACAAGCACAACGACAACACCAAGAACAACGACAACACCAAGCACAACAACTACAACGATACCAACGACAACAAAAGCAACACCAACGACAACACACACCACTGAAACTTTTACAAGCACCACAACTTCTGTTACAGCAAAAACATTGCTAACGACGAAACCCTCGAGCACCATAGATACTACAAAACACATGACATCAAATATAGTCACACCATCTTCCGGAAAGGTATCATATAACTGTTCAGAGAATGCATGCAGGAACAATGGTAAATGTATTAATAGTGCATGTCAGTGTTTATTAGGTTTTTCTGGACAGCTTTGCCAGAAGGAAGTAATCGAATGCCAAAATGACACGTGTTTGAATGGAGGGTATTGTAATGATGTTGTTGGGAATTATTCATGTGATTGTCTTCATGGCTTTGCGGGGTCTAGATGTGAAAAGCATGCTGGTAGTAGTACGGTTTCTCCAACAGTTAATGCATGTGGGTTTTGTGGAAATGGTTCTTGTTTAGTGCTGGGAAATGGGACTGCATTTTGTGTTTGTAAACAAGGGTTTAGCGGAAAGACATGTGCCCATTCCAATAATTTATGTCGTCCTTATTCAGATGCTTTATGTTTTAGTGGCAGTCAATGTATGTTAAAATCATTTAGAACAAACACAGACATTTGCCCGCATGGTTGGGCGGGTCCAATTTGTAGAAATGGATCAATTGCTTTGTCAAGAGATCTGGAGTGTCCACGAGTTGTATGTAAGAACGATGGTCATTGCTTCAATGGAAAGTGCTGTTGTAGACCTGGATATAAAGGGGAGTTCTGTGAGGAAGAAATACTGCATTGTGATAGCAGTCCATGTAAGAATAATGCAACATGTATAAATATATACAACGATTTTGAGTGTCACTGCCAAATGGGATTCACTGGACGATCTTGTGAAGTATCTTTATTTTATCCGCTATTCCCCACTACATCACAGTCATCTGAAGTGACGACACAGCCAAACAAACCGACCATATCTCAGCAAATAACGTCCACATCCTCCATAGATTCATCATCTAAAGAAACGTTATCTATTAACCCCACAACATACGTTTCCCATAATGTACCAACGGAATCATCAACATCTAAAACAACAACTTTAACAGAGACAACAGAAAAACAAACAACAGGTTTGATCCATAAACAAACATCGTTTCCTGTTTCCAAAAATGTACCAGTGACGACAGAAGCTTCGTCATCGTCAGTTACTCAAACCATAACACAAAAGTCCACCCAAGTTTCATCTACTGACTCTGCAACACTTTCTTCAAGGACCACGAAACATAATTTAAGTACAATTAAAACTCAAAGGTCTACCACAACTGACTCTGTGTTTGCTCGCTGTTATGGTGATCAATGCTTCTTGAATGGAACCTGCTTAAATACATCATTTGGTAGAACTGAATGTAATTGCATGAAAGTAGATATGGCAAAATTATTAATAGTAGATTGCAAGGTTGTAGATACTTCATTGACAACTGTAACGTATAGCATAGCTTCAAGTTCGTCATTTCAGACGACCACACCCTCGGGTGGCTCCCACACGACATCTCAGGTAACTTCCTCCTACACTAGTTCAACGCCAATATTATCAACAACGAACTCTAAATCCAGCCTCAAAATATCTCCATCTACCGTGATGACTGTGACGAAGGTACGCTCGACCCCTTCACAAAATAGAGGAAATATGTCTGTGACACTCAGCGGAAAAATTCCCGATAATGAAATCCCGGCGATCAAACAGGTGATAACAAATGCCGTCAAAAACACTTCCAAAGGTAAACAGTTACTTGTCATTTATACAAACATTCATGTTTAAATCTGCTTTTGTTCTTGTCAAAAAGGCATTTAACAATTAATTTTATTTGAATCCAGTTTGAATAACTACCTGAAATTATCCTTATATTTGACAACCTCTAAAATAATAAATTGCAAATAAATCCCAACCACTTTTTTCTTATATAGGAGAGAACTGTACGGACATCAACATTTTGGACAAAGAGTATCTGTACAGTATCTCCAGGTAAACCATTTTATTTCTAAGCTTTGGAAGCCACTGTCTACATCAAAATTATACACATCAAACTTAAAGATATGGTATTGAGTTTCATTTAGTATCATTTCGTATTCACAAAACGCAAAAAGTGGACTGCTATGAATGTGATGTCCCAAATTATTCATTTTGTTATATTTATTTTTATTTTAGAGACGTATACACAAAAGTCATCTACAACAGCTCAGATTGTCCAAACGCAGCAGATTTGCATAAAAATCCAAATCTCACGGATTCTATAAACAACCAACTTGCTAACTCTGGTCAGCTTAGTAATTATGGCGTGTTCAGTGGTAAAACAACAGGACTGGGACGAAGTTACCACGTCCCTCTCATTGGATACGTGTACAATATTTACAGGAGCGGCATCAAGACTGCCATTAAACAAGCATGGTCGAACGCAGGTAATGTACATGTATTAAATATTATTAATATTATAAATATATTTTTCTATTTATTTAAAATACATACATATATCTAGTTTGATAAAAGAGATTCATTACAAGGGGACTGCAAATTATACATAGCTTTCATTTCATAGGAAATAAGCTTGTTGATGTTCTCATTGTTGATGCTGCGTACAAAATTGGAGATTATGGGTAAGTTTCACCAGCATTTAGTCACTACAAAATTTCTAAAACTTTTCAGTTATTTGATATAGCTATTTAAGGGAAGAGCGAGGGAACATTTTTTTTAAAATTCTTCTTACAGAATATATGTAACGGATATATCATACCTAGTCACAAGTGGTCTAACATTCCTACAAGCTAAACCGGAGAACATTCCCAAAGATCAGGCGTTTTATAAGGAGTTCCAAACAGAATTTCCAGATATGCAAGTCATGATGTATACTGGAAACGAGAGTTACGGATATGAATCAGGACTTCGACTGTCTCTACAACAAAGAAAAAGAACCACATCTCTCACTGCTGCTGATATTTACAAGAAAACTCTTGCAGTTTATAAAAACGCCCTAAAAGGTACATTTATAAATTTAACTAGCATATAAACGTTTTTTTTTAACCAGAATAAGTAGATTGATACCGAATCTCATATTTGTTTGTAGATAATGGGCTCTGTCTGCAGCAAGCATGTAATGTTGGATTGAAGCTTTCTCCGTTAGAGGACACCCCTACAAAAGAAAGGTCATTCTTCAAATACTCATTTTAACAGACCTTAATATAAAAATATTCAATTCTAACAACATTTAATGCTAAAGTCACTCAATTTGAACACCCTTTCATGGTTAAGCAAAATGGTTAACAATTCGTTACCTTTACAGATCAGTTGATGTCATGCTGTACCCAACGTTAGACGGACATCTCAACACAGAGCCAACGGTGCTTAAAGCACTGATAACCAAACTATCGACACATTATCAGATTTGTAATGTCTGTAAAAACCCAAGGCTCCATTATGTGGACATAGCCGGGCGTGTGAAGCTCAAAGATGAAAATAATATTAGAAATGCAATAAATACAGTTTTTGGTGAGATTTCTTTTTATTTCACAATTTTATGCAATGCCCGATTCAAATCAAAGTTATATTTATTCATTAACCTTTTCCACCTGTTTACACTTTTCAAGGTCTATATTCTTGGTAGATTTCTTTTATTTATGCTGTTTGAGACATAAAATTAAGGTTCAGTTTCGAGATGAACGTTTTTTGATTCAGTTCTTGAATCCTGGAATAAAGTATATTTAAAAATGCATCTTGTTGGATAGAATTAGAGAAATCGCTCAGATTTTCAAATCTTATAGGGTGCTTTGTCTATAAGTCCTTAAGTCGATACTGAAGGAAAACATGACTTGATTTTGTAAAAAAAAAAAAGGGGGGGGGAATGGAATTTTCATGAACAGATCTAGAATATGTCTAATGCTTGTTTGATATTTTTCATTAGTAAGGCATTATTGGTATCTCTATCTTTGTTAATGATACATTTTTTGTTTACTAGAAACCATTGATACTTCCTGGAGGAAACAATCCTTTTTAAGCAGACAAAAGTAAGTTAGAAGAAATTGCTACATATCTGATATAATTTCTCGACTACTATTTCATAATAATATCCGAGTACTGATCATACTGTATTACTGATTTAGTTCAATTGCCACGAGACTGTACTATCTACCGAGTCAGCCCAATGACACAAGGACCGAGTGGCCAAGACCAAATATGGAGGGAAAGTTAGATCTCATTAACAATTCTCTGAGTAGTTTAAACCGGAGGTTGGCAGTAGATAGGATGAAACGGTTACATCAGCTGGTACTGAAAGAAGCTGTTCCAGAATCAGAACAAAAGCGAACTTCTCTTTCATTGAGCACTGCATGGGCCACAGCAAATAAACGTATGGTATATTAGAAAGTTGTAAAGAGTTTCTTCCCTTAAACGTGTTGTTCTCTTCAGATGTAATATTTGACGACTGATATTGAAACCTTTATCACTTTTCAGATGTTTCCCAGCGTGCTTTGACCACAGACATCCAATCATGGAACAATTTTTATGTTTCCTCAAAAGGGTAAAGGCATGCATTCTACAAATATAGATATTAATGTCTGTAAACCTTAACCAGAATGTGTTGTTCATGAATACTAACCCTCTCTCCTAGGGAGACCGTGACCCAGATAAAGTATACGGTGAATGTCATGAATGCCGATTCCAGTCTAGCAGCGGTGTCCTCTCCCAGCGTTAGCGTCATGGGTAACGTTCTGAAATCAGTGTGTGACTGCAGAGCCTATAGGGTCAGAATGTTGTGGACAAAGGACACGCAGGGATTCAATTCGACAGTTATACAGAAAGCTGTATCAAATGCATGGATCCTCGCCAATAATGGTAAAAAATTCTACATGGCACTTTTTGTTGCGTAGACGTACGTAATTCTTCGTAGTAATATAGATTCCAATAATGATTCTTTTGATATAATAAAGATTGGAAGAAGATATAAAGCAAAGCGAAAATTAATATTGAGGTGTCTGGATAATCAGATTTTCAAAGCAATCGTTTCGCATATTTAGGTCTTGGTCTAACAATTCCAGTTAAAGTACTCAACACAGAGTCTGGATACGTCGCTGGATCTGGGTATGCAAATAAAAGTAGCATTATAAAAGAGAATGCATAACATGTAAATATTCTTTCGTATCACATCTTAAAAATAAATGATGTACAATACTTTCCAGAGACAATGTACGTATGTACACATATTTCATACAGCCAAGGAAAGGGCTAATGGAAGTTGAGGAGGACGATTTGGACGAACCCTCCTCTGTACAGTTAGAGCAGGAGTTGTCTAACCTGGTTCCCGGGTCACGTGTGTTTTCTACAGCCTCTAAAAAGTCAGAACCAGAGGGAACAGTAAGTTTCGATTGAAGTACGATAAAATCTGGACAGCATAACTTATTCTTAAAGGAGGAGCCATTTAGTTAACGTTGATTAAATACTTGATATACCGTCATTCTCATTATGTTTTATCTTGTACAAACACAAGTATGATCAAGACACTGATTTTGTATTTACAAATTAGATGATAAAACTGGAACGAATATGAAAGCCTCAGTTGAATATATTTCAATTTGATTAATAAGCACTTACAATTAAATTGCTGTTTAGATTGTCATATTGAAAATTTGAATTTTAATCAGTGGCAGTTAATAAAAATTTACAATGTGATGATAAAATTATGAACAACAGTGTTTCAAGAGGGAAATTTTTAGAAACGATACATTTTATATATGGAGCGTTTTGAGGCTTACAAAAGTCATTTTTCAAAAGGATTAAGTCATTACAATAATTTTTTTTTTAAATACATGTAAGGAAAAACAATCTTTTGCATTTTTTAAAACAGGATAACATGCTGAAACCAAACAGTGAACAATGAAATTCATTTTCTAGTGTTGTTCATCGATGATTATGTTCGCTGCAAAAGTACAAATTAACTTGCAAAAAATATTACTGGTAAATTGGAAATATTTTTTTATATTTTAAAGGTTGAGCTGTGATATAAACAATATTTGACCTTTAAATTCACTTTGTATTAAAATAATTCTTCCCAGGAATGGTGGGTTTACGTCGTGATAGCTGTAGGATGCTTAGCACTGGTCATCATACTAGCCACGCTCATTATCTCAGCCGTGAGAGCTCGAAAGTATGTACACACATACCTACCTTATATCATTATATGACAAATGTATATGGTAAAAGTAATGTTTCACAATTTTTACAAAACTGATTTTACAAAACTCTTTTCTATTCTTATATAGTTACTAGTAAAATTAAAAATTCAAGAGCAATCAAAGCTATATCATGTCAAAAGTCCTATCCTGAAGTGCTTTAGATCGTGGATAAGTACTTAATCGTAACTGCTTATCTTTAAGTCATCGTCAGTCGAGAACGCTGAAACAGGACCCAAAGCAGATGAATGGTTACGATAAGGAACACTTTTCTAAGGAACCGGTGATGGAGAAGAATTCCAATGGACTATATGCAGTGGAGGACGAAGATACGGACTATTCCAAAACTACCTATATAGTGAATGACGCTTTTACCGACAGTTATCGAGAGTAGGCGACATAGCAAGGGCCAGCTTTTATTTGTAGAGGTGTTGCAATAAGTTCTTTAACATGTTCATTGAGAAGAAAAGTATGCAAAGACTATATTTATGCTTTTTAAGTGAAGGGACTGATATGTTTGCGGTATGATAACGTACTAATTGCCAGAAGACACGTGAATGTGTGTGCGTGTGTATATGTGTGTTGAATGAAATGATAAAGAAGAGATAATGATATTAGATTTATTTTAATCAGTTGTGTTCAAATATTCTTTTCAAATATCTAAGAAGAGATAAGACTGCATTAATTGTACATACTTTAAATACATTGTACATATTTCATCCATCTTTTTGTACTATATTGTTTAAAAAATACATTGAATATTGAACTTAATCATTTAGATTTACATTTATTAATAAAATAGGCAACAGTCTCACAAAAACTGCAACACGTGTATATTATATATGTAAGACTCTAAAGTGCGATGGTGACGCCAAAGTCCGATGGTCTCGCCAAACTCCGATGGCCTGCGCCAAACCCCGATGGCTGTGTGTTGACGGTCACGCCAAAGTCCGATGGCTTGTTTCCTATGAGACACGCGACGCTAAAATGCGATGGTCTGACACGCCAAAGTCCGATGGTGCGAAGGTACAATCAACGTTTATGATGATACGTCATGACGTTGTCCTGCAATCAAAATCCAATATTTACATTCGCTGTGTTTTTCTAGTAAGCTTACTGTGAAATTGATTTGAAAAACATTTTCGTGTATACTCACGCGTAGAAATATACACGGAGAAACATGCGTTAACGTGACGTCACAATGAGACTGCAGCGACTTTAGTAAAATGCAACAATATAAGGCAGCGAGAAATTCAAATATTAAGTATATTTTAGTTGCCTCCAAACAGATTAAATGTAAAGATAAGGAATGTTTTTTAGTTTCGTGTGAGTTAGCGCGCTACATGAAATATGCCTACGTGACAAGTGTGTGTGATTCACACACCAATAACTCACACAAAACTAAAAAACATTCCTTAAATGATTTTGTATTTGTCCCGCTTACAATTTTACTGATTTTGCTTATTGTTTTTGCCCACCAGAGCTATAAGGGTTAGTCCTTGTACACCATTCGACTGATTGGGTTAGTTCTTGAACACCAATGTGTTTCTTCGAACTCACCCAAGGGGTTTTATGGTCAGTCCTCGCACACTATTGGACTGACTTGGATTAGTCATGCACCCATCCAAGATACCTATGGCTTATGGTTGTTACACATTTTTCGACTGATAAGTGTTAGTCTCCCACCTAAATCCAAAAGATTAGGGTTAGTCTTTGCATTTAATACTTATTAGTATTTATTTCAAACAATCGGGCCTTGGCATGGCGCAGCATCGCATTTTTGCGCAATATTACTATGACGTCATACACGTTAATTGTTTTCTGCACCATCGGACTTTGGCGTGTCAAACCATCGGGGTTTGGCGCAGACCATCGGACTTTGGCGTGACCATCGGACTTTGGAGTCCCATCGCATTTTGGAGTCCTACATATATATTATTATTTGATTCAATAGCCAACTCTTTATGCTGATAATATATGCCTTTTTAACGAAGACTCACCGCTACTTAGTCGATGATTTACAAGTTTGTTTGATTAGAGATGAAATACAATGATACAGGGCTGATAAGATTACCTTGTATCACATCAGTACGTGTTACAATATAGGCCATAATTATGACCGGTTAATTTCCAATAATTGAAATAGCACGTGCTGAATGAGGCAACCATTCTATTAATATGCAGGTAAGTAAAAAAGTAATCATACTCTAAACAAACATTGAAGGGAAAAGGAATTTCCTTTTACTTCTCATAAAGAAAAGAAGAGGTGTGAGCTTGAGAAATCATACTTATAAATATTTATGTTTTTATTGATACATTTTATTTTATATTGCTAATATAAAGTCGTTACTTTTTCTCTTTAATTATACTTTTGTTAGCTCGGTTTCATTCAGGTTTTTCGCTGAACTGGTACACCTGTGTTAAGAAAGGAAATACATCATAGAATTAAGTAAAAAATGCCATATTTATCACACCCAATCTTATGACGTATATCTCATATCAGGCAAACATTATACTAGTAGTTGCTTTTTCGGGATTATGAAGACAGCATCCTTTAAATAAAAATAAAAAGCATTTTTAAACCTCAGAGTCCTGAGTTTTGCAGCAAGGAAACAGTGGTAGTGCCTGTTTTTAAAAGTAAAATACTTCTTGTATTGTAATAATGATGAAGATGTTCCAGAAACAAGTATAACATACATTGAAAACAAAGCAATAAGTTTACACTTATTGCGATAACTTGTAGTACTTTCCAAAATAAAAGTAATTATTAGTTTATATGTACCCAAATAACAAAGAAAGAACGATTTTTAAAGTAATAAGCACATGTGTGTATAAATATCATATCGAAAAGTGAATAAATTCTTTATTTCTCTTGGTATATTATGATCGGTTTTTATCTTTAATAGAGCATATTTCTATATAGATGGAATATTAATAGTGTTAGATGTCTTAATATCCACATTTCAGAAAACATTAAAATGAATTTAAATACAGAATGTTGCTTTAGGCATACACTGATAAAGTAGTTAGTTTCCTTGGATATATATCCTGGTATGAAAATTTTCAAAAAGCTTTGAAATTGTATGACAGCAATAAACAACTACAATTTCTTTTAATGCTAATAACAATTTTATCCATTGGAATTTTATATAAATGGACCTTTTTATAAACATAATTCAAATTACAGGGTATAAATATCGACTTTAAAGGAGTTTATGTTGAGAAAGAGTAATACATGGACCCTCCAGTAAAAGTGACATGCACATCATCAAACCATACCGGTATTTAATACCAAAAGAATATAACAGTAATTTTCTAAACTTGATGAAATGATGAAAAGTTAAAAAAAACCCTGAAAAGCATTAAAATAAATACATACAAAGAAAGGATTGAGAGGGACTTGTGAAAGATTTTGAAATTCTTTTGTTTTGGTCTTATCGAAAGAAAAACCCACCGGACAGCAAATCATTTTTTTCTCCTTTGTTTTTATTTGATCTATGATCTAGCAGTATCAACTAAGATAGCTTCCAAATTCCCTTCATTTGGTCAGTATCCCGTTGATAATGACCATTAACTAAAATGCGGAACTGATCAAAGACAAAAAGCTTTTGCAGGTTACTTCAACTAATAGAGTTGCAAAGCGAGATACTTTTGGCGCAGGAGTATAAGGAGCATTGGGAATATAAATTTCGTTACATCATCACATTTTGAAAAACTACGTACTGAATGCATTTAAATAACACTTCACGACTCTTTTGAACAAATAACCTCTTTCTGACTCATCTTAAAAAATTGAAAATGAACTTAATTCAGCTGAACATATATGTATGCATTTGCGAGCCATCACTGCTTAGAAAACACAATGAAACATATGGAGATAACGAACAGTATTCAAGCTCAAAAGTCCATAAAACAATACAAATTGGGAGCGAACAAATACGGACCTTTAAAACATCTCAGGTACCATGGAGGAGTGAGCAACCCCTGCTGATTGGTCCCACCCATCGTATGCTCCTTGTCATAATCGGGAAATAACGGAAAAAGCCATCGTCAATTCAGTGTATAAATAATGTCCTTACAATTAGTAAGAAAACATCAGTCGACAGCGTTTGATTCAGTGTTCAATTGTATTTGCTGACATGATCATTGTATTGACCATAGAACTTACTAAATGATGACTTTAAACGAGACTGCTGATATTCTTGTTTCATCAACTTGTTTGTCAATAATTTACCTCGTTTTAGAAATTGTTCATACGTAGAGCATGCTATTGCGTATCGAATCAACTGAGCTATATAAACGCCGTATGCAGGTAATGAAGGTATAATGCTGCATAAGTAAGGGAAGTTGGCGAAGGAAAAGTTAAAGTTACGTTTATCATCGAGCTTGGTTGTTAGATTATCATTAACTTTTTTTTTTCAAGTAAAATACCCTAGTATGAAACATGTGTCAGACTCTGTGGTATCTTTTATCTCAAGCTCACCAGGTATATCGTATCGATATAAGAATGGAAATTACATTGTTAATTGACAATGCGTCGTCGATATATCTAAATGTCGAGTTGAAGCCCACAGCAAGTGTTTTTTTCTTCTTTTCACACATAAGATTTTGCCCAAATTCTGCTTAATTCATATGAATACAAAAATAGGTCTGCAAGAAAGGGGTGGGGGGGGGTACCCATGGGAATTCCAATAGATTGTTGGAAGAAGTGGTCTCCAAAAACAGCATAGATATTTTCAATCAGTAACTCAAGCATCTTTTTGATGTCAACTTCAGAGTACTTGTGTGTACAATCAGAAGGTTTTTAACAAAATAATTTTGTAAATGACCAATGACAAGGTAAGTAAATTTACGAGTTCCATTTTCATTGAAAAAGCAGCTATCAATGAAATCGAAAGGCCTGGATTTTAATTTATCGTGGGGATTGTTGTGTATAAAGTTGAAAAGTGGTAGGTATTTAAGCTGTTGATTTTGATAAAATCTTGTGATTTCAAATTCTCATAAAGTTCCTTGGAATTTTAAAGTATCCACATCTGATTTACACCACTTCTTTAATATATTGTTACACAGTACTCTTGAAGTTTCTCTTTTACTTCTGTTAAAATTTTTAGTGAGGAGTAAAGAAAGAGGCTTGGTTGAACATTTACTGGAACCAGCTATGCATCTTTATAAGGATTCTTATAAAGTTTCGAAATCCAATATATATATATATATATATGTGGTAGTTCAAAATCCCCTTTGTTCTAAGTTGAGGTCGTATTTCCATGAAACATAAAAATAATAATGACATAAGAAGATTTTTGATTGACTTTCAATTGAAAATCAAACAAAGAATGAAAACAAATAAATGAAATTCATGCTACGTGCTTGAAATTGTTATATATATATTTTCTGATAAGGGTAAAAAGCTTTAACATTAATGTTCAATTTATCTTTTGGAGAAACTTAAAATTACAAGAAAAATTCAACAGTCGTAGCTTTTTGCAATATCTAGGCATATACGACAAGTATTATAAAAACTGTATCAAAATAAACATGTCAAGGTTATAAGAAGAGGTTTGACGTTTATATACCCATCAAATAAAGCATTCCAAAGAAAAAGGCTGAGAAAATTTTCTTCATGGCATAATCATTTTGAGCAAAAATGATTTGTCAACCTTTTGTAGAAGACATATAATCCAAAATTATAGAAAGGCAAAAAAGGTTACAAGAACTTGTCCATACATTAGAAATTGTATAAAAAAAAACAGTTGCATGCAAAAACTAAAAGGAAGCATATTAACATATTTTTGGAAGATGGAAAATATCACCAAACCAAAAATTGCAACCAAATTCTTACCGATTTAAAAAATAAAGAGCACAAAACCACACAGGTTGTGAATAAAGTATCCTTTATATTATTTAATCTCTGCATAAAGACCGGTGTTATTCTCATCATGAAAGTCATTGTTCTATTTTCAAGCTGTATTATTTCTTTTTTTTTTAAGGTCAATCAGATATTTTTCGTGCTGCAGCTGATCTCGGTCGCAGTTGCTACCCCATTCTGTATTCCCAACACCACTGTTACTCCAGCTCCTAATGGTGAGTATACAAAACAATCTATAAACTATGTCTAAATACTTTCACAATTTGCATTCAGAGTAAAGAGTAAAACAATTCATGGTCAAGATATTGAAAGAAATATTGATAGCAATATACGATACTATACCAAGAGATATGTTTTTTCTGTCCTCTTTTATTCTATATCGGTAAATGATTTATCTTTGGTCGACATTAGCTCCACCCTTTCCGAACTTGCCCGGAGTATTTCAGACCCGAGTTGAGGCCACCATTATTGATAAGAAAATGACAGTGTCAGCCCAGGAATACTTCAGCAGTCTAAAAGACAGAGCAACTCTGATAATGGCGTCAGAAGGCAACACGCCAGACACACTTGTATATGACTATTCCAACGATCAACTCTTCTACGTTCACGGTAAACGTGGTTTTATGCTCTTAAAGGTACTTGGACACAGATTTGAAGTCAATATTTTCTCTATAATATTACGACTTATATATTTTAATAGCATTTCACACAAAAATTAATTAAAAATCTTATTTCCTTTAAAAGTTATTAAAAATTAAAATTTTTTGGCGGGTTTGATTGACACATCCTTGCACTATCACAAATTTTAACCTTATATTTCTCATTAAAACTTTAATCCAGAGAAATAATTTTATTCAGAGTAGAAATGTTAGAAAGCAAAACTCCTTCACAAGTATCGTCATTCCGAACTACATGTAAGAGTTGCGTACAGAGTTTAGCAAATCGAGCACACTCGTGTTTATATACACAGTTTTGGTAAACAGGGCCGAGTTCTGTTTTTTTTTTATATGTTTACAATTCACCGGGTGCGTTTAATTGTCACAGTCTGCTTACCACAACTGCACGGACTAACAATGTATTGTGTGTTTGTTTTGCTATCGAACATGTCTACTCTGAATTTTCTGGATTATAGTATTAATATTTTTCATATATACACAACGAGATTGCCACTTTTCCTAAGGTTTAATAAGAATAAAATTAATATGTGAAAGTGCAAGGATGTGTCAATCAAACCCGCCAAAAAAATTAAAATTTTAATATCTTTTATATGAAACAATATTTTTAATTAATTTTTGTGTGAAATGCTATTAAAATATATAAGTTGTAATATTATAAAGAAAATAATAACTTCAAATCTGTGTCCAAGTACCTTTAAATCCCAATTCTGTGATATAATACCTATGAAGATCGTAAATTTTAACATATATTATAAATATTTTTTCCATTAGAATTTATTTTGTATTTTTACACAAAACTCTGGCAACAAATTAGTTACCTTTGACTGTCTTTAGGTGGAAGATGTCAAGTGAATGATTTATTACACGACCCAAACAGCTTTTTATTTGGAAATAAAATACAGAATGGAGTTCCACATACGTTTACTACCAACGGTGCTCTGCATTTTATGAAGACCTTTGGCCAGGTAAGAACAACATTCAATTGTTCTCAACAATATTAAAATTATAGATGATATAACATATTCGTTTTATATCTGGAACTTTAGATTTAATGGCCAACTAGCAAAAAAAACTTATGACAGATGTCGCATTATCTGCTTTACTGTTTTCGATTATTTGTCTTTTGAGTAACTTACGCAAAATACGATCAATTTTGAAACCGAGGCAGTTTACTGACTAGTAAATTGACATCACAGGGCTACCAAGAATCTCATTTTAAAGTCATATTGCTAATTCTTTTGTCCTAGTGACCTATATTACAAAATAAAAAATAAAAAAGAGTATTTCGACAATTATTTCTTACCAAGTATTAGGCCATTGTTTTTTAACATGCTAAGTTTGACTTCTGATCTGTTTACCTAAACAATACAAAGAGCGGATGGTCCAGTCAGAAGGAGATGTTTTCTCCTCCTAGGCTAATGATCCCAACGGGGTTTCCAGGAGTCCTGTTTTTTGATTTACAAGTAATATTTTCAATAGGATTAAGAGATCGTTATATTCACTCCTTTACTTTCATTATTGACTGTGATTTTTTTTTCTTCTCTAGACATATATGGGGAAATCAGTCGTAAGAGGAATAAATGCCGATCATTGGAGAGCATGTTTATCATGGCCGAATCCTAATGCTACGTTTTATTTGGATTATTACTTTACGGGTAAGATTGTCAATCCACAAGAATCATAAAAACCATACCTTATGATATAATAACTTCCTGGGTTTTTTTTTTTTTTTTATAAAAAATTTTTTGGTAATGTCAGCTATGGATTGGGTGAATCCAGTTTCCTTCCAACAACTTCCGCTCCGTGCCGAAGCTACCGGGGTTCAGGTGGTACAAAACTCCACACAACGGATGTTCCACCACATTTATGACTACTTTGAGTTCCGACTGGACTTAACTGTTGATGATACAATTTTTGAGGTTTGTCATTTTTTATCAGAATAAAGAACATTTTCAATTCTCCAATGCCTTTTATTATACCCTTTATTATTTATTTTCATGATTCAAAACACCTGAAAGTTTACTTTAAAAATAAATGTTCTTGCAGACACCTGCAGGGGTATATTGTGCAAACAGAAAACCGACAAAGAAGATGGCGGGGATAGTTGATTCTAAGGCTTACCATTACCGACTGGAAACCGTGTCGGAGTACGATGGGAACGTTCAAACCAGCATAGTGAGTACATTTTATCTACAAGTCGAGGGTCTTCAAAGGGTTTGTCATCCTGACTTGTCCATTACTATTGCAGATAGCCTAAAGAATTCTTCATATTTATTGTTTTAGGTATATTACAATGAGAACTACAAGCTTGTGCGGTATGACTACAAAAATCTAGCCAACCTACCACCCACTTATTCCCAGAACCCCCTCTCTGAGATACACGATTACAACGCAGGTAAAGAGCCTGTTATCCTATGTACTTTGAATGCATTAGCTGTAAAATTATTATGTAACATTCATAAAATTTCAAAATCACATCTCCTTTTCGAAATATTCCTACAAAATTATATTATGTAAATCAAATACCTTTCTTATAAATAAACTACATATTTATTCAGGTGTTCGGTATATTAAGGATCTTGTGATCGGTAACTGTTCAGTACTTCCTCTGAGTAATGGTTCCATAGACAGCGTAGAATCACATGAAACCTTTTACGGGAACGGAACTGAGAAATCCGGATATTCACTCCATATGAAGAACCCACTTCAGTTTCTAAAACTAGACACCAATTATGATTATGTTGGTCAGGTATGTGGAATTTAATAGATTTTTCTTTCTGATCATGGATATTCAAAATTATTGATTTAAAGCCTCCATCTATATACAAAAAAGCAAACATAATATTTATAAGAATTTTTAGGAATCTTTTAATTCTTAAATTCAAAGATGTTGCAAGAAAAAAAAACCGATTTATTGAAATAGAAAAAAATGTTATTCCTCTGATATAATCTATTTTTTTTCCTAGAGGCGTTGTCGTGGTAATGCCATGTGCGATGTTTTCAGTGGTATTCGATCTGATTACCTAGACACTAATGGGTTCATTAAGAATGCTACTTATGACTATTACTTTCTCTCAGTAAGATTAGTGAACTTTATTATATTGCTTTTTAATTCGAATGTTGTTAATTTGATTGTTTTTTGTTTTTGTTTGGAAGACATTGTTTTATGTTTTAATGATTTTCCTTTATATGCTTAAATACAAGGTGTTCTTTAGTTGAAAATTTAATTGTTATACATTTTCATACAAATCACTTACTTTTTGCCACATTTATTGCATATTAAAAAAGACGGTATTTTTAATTATTCCCATGGTTATCTCATTTAGAATATAGAACAATATATGAATTTGTTTAATACGTAATTTAATCAATTTACAGGAAGATTTTTCGGAGATTTCAATAGATAGTTCTAGTTATGACCCTGCCGATGTACCATATCAACTACTGGTCACACTTCTAGGTGTAAGTTTAAACGTCTACGTCAATAACTCAATAAATAAAATGTAATCTGGTTCTACCTCATTAAGTGTTGCCCTCTTCTTTGTAGACGGACGGTTCCCCACAGTACTCTGTGACCTATAACTTTGTGGACTACGTGTTCGAGGACCAAGACATCAGTTTGTTCGATGTGTCTTCTTGTTACTCTTCAGCAGCAAACCTACAGTTCCAAGTCAGAATACCCGGTAAGGTAGCCACTGCAACTCACACATAATAAACCTACAATTACAGTCAGAATACCCGGTAATTTAGCCATTGCAACTCACACATAAAACACCTACAATTACAGGTCAGAATATCCGGAAACATGCAATTCGCACAAAGCAAACCTTTAATTTCAAGTATAAATAGAACTTATACACAATAGACATATAATATGAGACATATGATACTAGTATATGATATAACCTATTGTAAGAGTAAATTTATAATAGTGTTAATAAATCTATTTGATTTCACTTTGGTTTTATTGAATATCAATTAAAGAATCATTTAATTGATTTAATAATGTTAAAAAAATCTATTTGATTTCACTTTGGTTTTATTGAACATCAGTTATAGACTGATTTAAGAGACGGACAAAGGCAATGAAAGATAGATACAATTAAAATATATATAGTTAATATAGTTAATTTAATCACACCTACGTTCAATTCAATTGTACGTACCTTTACATAATGGAGTAAGTGATATCGCTAGAAAAAACGCTTTCAAATCAACTTCATTTATGTATAGTTTTTCCTGATAAAGAACGTGATATTAAAGTATTTAGTCATATTCTAGTATTTTTTTCATTATCCCGATTTTTTGGTCCAAAATAGGAGTCTTCTACAAAACAGACGAGAACCTGATGAAAATCAAGGCCCAGGCAAAGTTTGCTGAGATGCTTCAGGTGTCATACATTCGAGTACAGGACGTACGCCTAGATTATGATAACTCCAATGTGTACATATCAGCTACTGTCCTGGACAGGACACCAGCATCAGGTCCGTTATTTTACGTATAGCGATTAATCATCTGTATTGTTATATTAGAAAGTACATATAGGCAATGTGTCTTTGTGTTTCTTGTAGCTCAGTTTACGTACATACCGGGAAAAGAGCTCAGCAGATCTGGTGACCAGGTATACAGCAATATCCTCAGTCCTCAGGACTGTGCTAAAAACTGCATCACTAATTATGATTTTACCTGCAACAGCTTTGAGTTCTGTCCCGTTGGTACCGGAAATTGTAGACTGAACAGACGACACAAAGAAGATGGGACAGTATCACTTTCATCAAGCCAGTGCGATCATTACTCAAGTAGCGTATCTTAAATTGCTTAATTCTTCTGAGTGAAAATTTCTGTTCATGTATTATGTGTTATTTGTAGTATGGAATGTCATAAATCAATAAAATCACATATTTTCGTTGGGTCAAATTTTAGCGGTTTGAGGAAAATCTAAGGGTTCGTGGGGATTTGATATAGTGGATGAAGAATTGTTGAGAGCCATGTATATGACATTTTACTTTTCATGGTGAACATGAATTCGTGGGTCTCTTAATACATCAAAAACAACGAAAATTAACCCCCACGAAAAAATTAGTGCTTTCACAGTAATACAACTACAGCAATTTAGGAAATATAATTTTGGATGAGAAAACATTAAGAGTTTAAGAAAAAAGATGTGATAAGTTTCGTTGTTAAGCAGCATCTCTAATCTGATTTGTACTGATACCTGCATTTTAATCTTAGCACTTTTTTCCAGGAAATATAAATGGACCCACAGTCCAAGAAACACCTGTAGATGAGGCATATGATAAATTGAAGACGGCTGTTTATCAAAAGAAATTCAGACTTCAAATCTTCGGGCAACAGGTATAATACAGGCTATGAAGCAACCAGGAGAGGTCAAAATTAGATTATATTAACCTTTGAAAACTTCAGCATAAAGATAAGAAAAATCTTAGAAGAAGTAAGATCAAAGTTACAAGAGCTCAACAAAGAAGATTAGCCTAATGACAATAGGCGAGCTTTATTTCAGAAAAAAACTAAAGGTACTGTGAGCACTGAGCTCACAAAATGATACCCCCACCTCCCTTATGTTTATAATGGCAAAGTCCATAATTTGCTCTCAGAATCCCAAAATTAGTGTCATAAAAAAAAATAAAATAGGAGGTGCACAATGGCACAATGTAACAATATTATTTTTAAAAAATGGCAGTGTCCATATTTGCTGTGGAAAACACAAAATATATGTCAGGTCAAAAAGTAGAAATAGGAGGTGCATAATGGCACAATGTAACAAAGATTCTGTGAAAGTATCAATAAATTTCATTCAGAGGTTTAAGAGAAGTTGCGGATAAAAGATGGGTACCCTAAAGCTTAACAGACGGCGGACGTATAGATGGACGGACATCTCGATCACTATATACCCTCCCACTTTTCAAATGGGGGAGTTTAATCAAAAAGAAATCACTTACCTTAAAAAGGAAAAGGGTCATCATTAAATTAGAAATTATATAAATATTCAGCCTTAAAATAGGTTTAATAGATATACTGGCAAATAACAGCTTTTCCATGTAGCAAATATACATTGTATATATCATATAATAAAGTTTGTTTGGCACAATAATTTATTAATTTCTTTTCATGTAGACCTTTGACTCCTATGCAGTAGACATTAGAATCTTATTTGGTGAGTAAATGCATTAAATTATGTAGTGTAATGGTATTAAATAAACGGAATATTTTTGTTTTCATTTGAGTGTGTTTATTTAGACAAATTTGGATTTTGAAGGTTGGATGGAAAACGTATCGTTACCCTCTATAACAGGACAATTTTCCTACGGATTAGAAATAGTGGATCCAGCCACACAAAATGTTATAGCCTCTAATGTAAGCTATAAAGAGTTTCCTTGAAATCCATAGTAGTGATATCAACTAATGTAAGCTTACAAAAAGTTCATCAAATGTTTACTGTAGTTACTAAAGCGAATCAGAGTATATTCAGAGTATACTAACCATGAAATTAAAATTGTTATAAAACTTATATTTTTATTTAAGTATTACATGCAATTTTTGATATAAAAATACGGAAGCGTATTAGTGCCACTTGCACACTTTATTTTTTTTTAATTTCTACACTTTAATCTGTAAATTTTACACTTTAATCTGTAAATTTTACACCTTAATCTTTAAAATTTACACTATAAAGTGTAAAATTTACACTTTAATCTGTAAAATTTACACTTTAATCTGTAAAATTTACACTTTAATCTGTAAAATTTACACTTTAATCTGTAAAATTTACACTTTAATCTGTAAATTTTACACTTTAAAGTGTAAATTTTACACTTTAATCTGTAAAATTTACACTTTAATCTGTAAAATTTACACTTTAAAGTGTAAATTTTACTCTTTAAAGTGTAAATTTTACACTTTAATCTGTAAAATTTACACTTTAATCTGTAAATTTTACACTTTAATCTGTAAAATTTACACTTAATTTCTACCCCACTCTCTATATATAAATGCATTTTTATATATAAAATGTAGGATAGATTTTATAGAATGTTTGCTTTAGGTAATTTTTCTATTTGTTGGTATAGATCTTATCTAAATAGAAAATATCGTATAGAAATTTTAATAAAATGTTAGTTTAAGCAAATTTTCTGAATTTAGGATAGATTATATCACAATTGTGTCATCCATATATTATTTATTTGAAAAAAGTCTAACAGGCCCTGGAATCTATATTGGAGGGGGGGGGTCCTCAAGCACCTGTGATCGGGAATATGTGCATGTATGTTTGATACGCTCTTCACTTTATATTTAAAGAAAAGTTTTACTTTAAAATAAAACATCTGAATTAAATTTTATCATGCACGAAACATGGTCTGTTGGCATAAAAATGTGTTACTGAGGATGTGTGAAGATGCTAAATTGACTGTGAATAACAAATAAAGTGTAACATTTACAGATTAAAGTGTAAATTTTACAGATTAATGTGTAAAATTTACACTTTGAAGTGTAAAATTTACAGATTAAAGTGTAAAATTTACAGATTAAATTGTAAATTTTACAGATTAAAGTGTAAAATTAACAGATTAATGTGTAAATTTTACAGATTAAAGTGTAAATTTTACAGATTAATGTGTAAATTTTACAGATTAAAGTGTAAATTTTACAGATTAAAGTGTAAATTTTACAGATTAAAGTGTAAATTTTACAGATTAATGTGTAAAATTTACAGATTAATGTGTAAATTTTACAGATTAAAATGTAAATTTTACAGATTAAAGTGTAAATTTTACAGATTAAAGTGTAAAATTTACAGATTAAAATGTAAAATTTACAGATTAAATTATAAATTTTACAGATTAAAGTGTAAAATTTACACATTAAAGTGTAAATTTTACAGATTAAAGTGTAAAATTTACAGATTAAAGTGTAAAATTTACAGATTAAAGTGTAGAAATAAAAAAAAATAAAGTGTGCAAGTGGCACTAATACGCTTCCGTATAAAAAGGAAATACTGCATGTAAATTTTTATATAATTTCGAAAGTTGAAACGTGTAATTAAAGAGGACGAAAACATTCCAAAATCTTCAAAAATAGCTCTAGATCAAGGTTTCATCATGAATTAATGTATTAAAGTACATGTACTTACTTCAGTATAAATTGTTTAACGATCCGATGATACCTTTTTAAGTTCATGAATTAAAAAAAAATGTAAGAATTTAAAATACAATGTTTAAAGGTTTGGTACGATATGACTTACGGATTGGTAAGGTTTGATCTGACGAATACAGAGCCCACTCCGCCATTTTACACCACGAATCCCACCACCACCATAGAAGATTTCAATACAGGTAAAAGATACATTCTATTTCTCTTTGATTATTCAATTAATAAAAATGTCATCTAAACAAAGTTTTTTTTCTTGTGGTAATCTTCTTCTTTTTTGACTAAAACGTATTTTTTAATTATTATGAGTTAACTGGTATTGAAGGTATAGCATACACAATTGATCGGACTCTTGGAAACTGTTCCGTCAACTCTATACAGCTTGGATCCTTTGGAACCGAACAAGACAAATCGGCTCTGATGAGGAATGGAGCGTTTGTAATAAAGATGAAGGGACCACTCGATATATTCTCCCTAAACGAGTCATACCGATGGGCTGGACAAGTAGGTTTATCTTTTTGCTATCATTCAATGCTGCAAACAATCTAGCTTATGTTCTCCATCACCAGAAATTTACGCTTTTCTTGCACACTTCATACCAATAGTAAAAACATTGATATTTGGTTATTTCTTCCATTTGAAACAATATTTTAATTGAGATATTGTTTTTTATAGCCATTCAATTTTGTAAACATCATCTTTATATAAACAAATCCCAGAAATGAAACAAAAACATAGTGTAAATCAAAAGTTAATGCTAACAAATGAAAAAAATATAGAAAATAGTAATACATGTACTTTGTAAACATTAATATTGATTGGTTTACATTGTTAGAGAACAGTACGGGGTATGCTTTGTGACGTGTTTGAAGCGCAAACCACGGACTTTAAAGTCCCATCCATCACACAAACATTCACCAGTGTTCTGCAGTTCTTTTTCATGACGGTGAGTGACCACTTACAAATTAATCTATTAATTTTGTCGCAAAATTGTATTTATTTCAGTATTATTTCTGATTTTATACAATTTTAGGTTAACTAAGCTTCTAAGAAAAAATTTAAAAACCAAAAAATATCTGCTGATCAGAAAATGTCGTAGACGCTGATAGTTAAAGGGACATGGACACAGTTTCATTTTTAAACCAGTTTTAATGTTTACAATTGTGTTAATGTTTACTACGTAAGGCATCATCTAATGGTTAGCAAAACATTGAACACCATTTATTGATTAACAAACGAGATACAGAACTTAAAGTTCTTCATAATGTAAACAAGACTCGTGCCTTGTTTTTAGTTTAAGAAGTATTTTATTCAAAATATACAGAAAAGTATACAGTGAAAATGGATTGAACAGCAGGCCAACGGCCTATATTAGTTCTTTCCATTGGAGATCAAGGTACAGATTACATATTTGAGTTCTACAAAGATATATATTATAATCTAATATTAAAAGAATTAAACAGTACATAATTGAAGGAAAATTGAGAGAAAACAGAGGGTAAAGAAAACAATAAAATTTAATTTAAAAAAATGGAAAAAACGAAGAACAAAACAAAACAAACAAACAAAAAAAATTGGAAAAAAACAAAGAACAAACCAAAAAAAAAAAAAAACAAAAACAAAAAAAAAAAAAAAAAAAAACAACAAAAAAACCAAATAGAAAAAAAAAATTATAATCATAATAATTAGAAGAAAAATAAGAATATGTAGGGGAAGGCTCAGAACCAGACTTGAATTTTTTGTGTACTTTCAACCTGAATGTCAAGATTGAAAGACATGCTGCACAATACTTAATATATTTTCTAATTCTAAAATCTTTTAGTGTTTTTTATAAGATTATGAATTTGGTCAAAAAACAACATATTTTCTCTAAGGGGTAGACAATTATAACCAGATAATACAATATTGACATCTTGTTTTTGTTTACATACAGAAAATAATATATTTATATCAAACTGAAATTCAGTAAATCAGTAGAAACTGTCGAATCGTTTAAAATTAACTTTTTTATTGACATCATCTACTTTGAACTAATATATATTAGTATATTAACCTATGTAAACAAAAACATGCACGAACCTTGTTTACATAACAAAGGTTTGGAGCTCTACATCTCTCTTTCATCTCGACAACTGACGTTCAAATTTTTGATGATCATTAGAAAGACCCTGGTTAAATATTTGTAAAAATAGAAAAATAAATTTTGAAATTTTAGCTAAAACTGTGTCCATGCCCCTTTAAAGGAAGTAAAGCAATAATATATACATCGTCAGTAATACCAATGGAATATATGAAGAGATCGAACAGAATTCAAGCTCAAAAGTTCATTAAAACAATACAAATCAGGGGCAAAGTAAACACGAATTTATTAAACATCAGAGATGTGATAAGGTGTCATCGAGGAGTGAGCATCCCCTGTCGACTGGTAAAACCTGCTGTGTGCTCCTTTTCATGTTTGGGGAGTAACAGAAAAATGGTTCACAATTTGATTGTTTGGGGAATAACAGAAAAAGGGTTCACAGTTTAGTTGTTTGGGGAATAACACAAAAAAGGTTCACAATTTGATACGTACATAATATTTTAACAATAAGAATAAAAAGGTTAATCAGCGTTAGACTTGATGAGAGATTGTATTTGCTGACAAGGTCATTGTATCGACCATAGAACTAAAAAAAATTGATGACTTTAAACGAGAATGCTGATTCATCTTTCATCAACTTGTTCGTCTATGAAATACCTCGTTTAAGAAATTGTTCATACGTCGAGATTCCTCTTGTGTATCAAATTAATTGAGAGAAAAAAACCATCTGCAGGTGATGTTATATGGGTATATTGCTGCAGTGGTAAGTTGACAATTGAAAAGTTAAAATCATCACGTTTTTCATAAAGATTGATTATTTGATTTCTATTAACGTCTTTTTTCTGGTAAAGTGTCCAGATATAAAACAGATGTGGTCGACTTTGTGTTATCTTTTATTTCAAGCTCACTGGAATATATAGTGTCGACATATGAATTGAAATAACCATTTTTTGTTGTTAGTACGTCGTCAATATATCTACATGTCGAGTTGAAGGCCATAGCAAGCGTTTTCTTCTTCTCATGTATAAGATTTTGCACAAATTCTGATTCATATGACTGCAAAAAAAGTCTGTTAATAAAAGGGGTCAATTGATATCCATGAGTTTTTCAAAACTTTTCTGAAAATTTTAATATGGTGGAAAATAGATACATGTTTTAAGTAATTTTAATTTTGTATCATTTTTAGGACAGCTGGTCACAAACCTCTGATACAGATCCCAATCCAGTAAACTCAGAGCCCGTCAAACTGACTATATCTTCAGCAGAGGTATGTAAACTCACAGCCAGTGTCAAACTGACTATATCTTCAGCAGAGGTATGTAAACTCCCAGCCCGTCAAACTGACTATATCTTCAGCAGAGGTATGTAAACTCCCAGCCCGTCAAACTGACTATATCTTCAGCAGAGGTATGTAAACTCCCAGCCCGTCAAACTGACTATATCTTCAGCAGAGGTATGTAAACTCACAGCCCGTCAAACTGACTATATCTTCAGCAGAGGTATGTAAACTCACAGCCCGTCAAACTGACTATATCTTCAACAGAGGTATGTAAACTCACAGCCCGTCAAACTGACTATATCTTCAACAGAGATGTGTAAACTCAGTATCAATCAAATTAAAGATAAATGATACAAACATTCTTTTCTTTGGAGGAAACTTAATATCATGTCACAAGTTTAGAAAATTGGATAATTCTTAGAATTTTTTCTCAAAAGAACTGGACAATGTAATAGACTTGGAAAATATTAACATTATTTCCATAAAGTTACAAATATGGACAAAACAAACTTAATAAAGGTTTACAGATAAAAAATGTTAAAATATGTTACACATGTACCTTGGTGCTAAAAGTATAAACTTTTGAAAAGTATACCAAACCAGTTGAATTTTATCAGGAAAAGCAAAATGGTAAAAATTAGCCCATATGATATTGCTGAATTCTTGTCATTTTGTTTTTCCTGATAAAATTCACCTGGCTTGGTATATTTTTCTTAAGTTTATATTACACTTTTAGCACCAAGGTAACACATTCTAACATTTGTTTTCATCTGAAAACCTTTACTGAGTTTGTTTTGTCCATATTTGTTCTTTTATTGAAACTAATATTTTAGTCTATTTCATTTTCCAGTTCTTGGCAAAAAAAAAATTTATAAGAATTATCCACTTTTCTAAAAGTATCACATGGTATTATATCTCTTCCAGTGAAAGAAATTGTTTGTATCATCTGTCCTTAAGATTATCCTTGGTCAATGTCTATCAACTCAGAACCAGAAGCTCTATGATAAGTACATACCATTAGAGGTAAAATCTTTGGGAGAGAGTTTCTTTAACTTTGAGTATGAACTAAGAACATGAATAGGATTAAACTCAAAATCTGGTGTTGTTAAACATCTACCGAAATCGATGCTAAAAAGAGATACACGACAGTTAAACTGTTTCAATTTTATTATTTAAAAAAATCAAAATTCTTTATATTATTTGCAAATTACTTATAGGTTGGACTCTTCATGACTTATAATTTCTACAACTTTAATGAACAAGACCCGGATTTGAAGAATTTTGATATCACGCCATGCTTCACTGCGGACAAACAAGAAAACTTTGTCATGGTATTCAATGGTCTGTATATTTGTACAAAAGGCATTTGTTTTGAAAATCTTTATACAATGTATCATAATAACACAAAATAAAAGACTCATTGTTTGAAGAGGAAGTGTTATTTTTCCTTCTGATTTCTGTTGAAGTGGATATATTGTTACATTACCCCATTACCTATCTTTTAATTCTTTTTGTTACGCGGTTTAGGTAGTTATCATCCTTACTTAGACACCAATCTTAAAACCTTTGAGAAGGCGGTCAGAATTATGATGGCGGAATCATCTAAAGCTTCACCTCTAAGGTTTCAAAACTTGGAGGTTTCTTACGATAGCTACGCGCCATACACATTTCTTATCGGAACGCTTGTTGATCCAGCTCCAAGCATTGGTTTGTCTATTATTTATATTGGCATTAGATAATAAAAAACTTAACCCCCGCCAAAATAATTAATCTTGAAGAATTGTCCATACTCCAAAAAATATACTTCAATTAGATGCACTTTCTTTGTAATTCAAAAGCGATACAATTACATGTAGTGGACACGATAAATAGTAGGTTTTTAGAAAAATATTTAGAGTTCTTGACAATACATTTGTCAGTAAACAAGTAACTTAAGGACAGATGATACAAACAATTTTTTTCTTTGGAAGAGACTTAATATCATGTCACAAGTTTAGAAAAGTGGATAATTCTTAGAATGTTTTCTCCTAATAACTGGAAACTGAAATAGACTTGGAAAATATTAGTAATATTTCAGTAAAAAAACAAATATAGACAAATTACACTCAGTAAAATTCCCCCAGGTGAATTTTATGAGGAAAAACAAAATGACAAGAATTCAGCAATATTATATAGGCTAATTTTTACCATTTTGTGTAAAATTTGGTGAAATAAAGTTTAAAAAAGCACCAATTTAACATTATCTAAAAGAATGGGTGGACTTAACTGTCCAGGAAAAAAATGCCGTAAATTTAAGTTCCATAAAATATTAATTTTTTCCATATAAACCCTCCATATCTTAAAATTTAAAATGCTCTTTTCGAGATAAACTAAATAAATATCGAAGGCATGGTGCCTGAAGATTTCTTGAATATCAATAGATATCAGGGTCACGCATTTTTCATCGTCTGAATACATAATCAGCGCATGTTTGTCGGTTGTTCTTACGAAAACTATAATTGTATATTGAACAGAATAATGTCATATCAAAAGGAGAAGAGCCGACAAACGTGCGCTCACACTTAATTTAACAAAAAGCATGTTCAAAACAAACTTCTCGCTTCCATTGTTACGACTTCAATCGACCTGTTAAATATTACAATTCATCACGTGATGTCCACCTGCGAGTGTACTCGTGGAAACAGGTACATCGTATTCTTCAACCTGACCTCGATCTAAATCACTATGTTTGGTTGCCGTTTTCAGAATATAGCACATTGTGTTGTTTTAATTTTGCATGTCCTCACATTTTAAAAAAATCATAATGACATCGCTGTATATAAATATGCCAAACACGGGATTAATTTCACGGGTTGTAATTTTCACGTTTTTCTCTCATCTGACACGATCGCGGTTTCTTGAATTCGCGGAATCGGTTTATAATAAAAGTTACCTCCCTTGTCTATATACATTTAATCCATACCATAGCTACATGTAAACGGCATTAATCAGCGTTACGTCTTTATTTCACGAACAACAGGGTAGGTTAATATAAAATTGTTAGACATAAAAAATACATGCAATTGACAATTAATTAAAACAAGTACTGTTTTCAAACGTCCTTGACTGTAAAAGCAAATGATAATATATCACGATGACAACACATCTTCAATACAACGCGGCGAAAAACCACTGGACAGTAATAAATGTATCAATGTGGTCCGACGATCGAAATAATATCCTTCCACATCTTCAGTAAGTTCGATAGTCATTTGAATGATTTAAAAAACCAAATTGTCGATAAAAATTAATATGCATGATATTAAATGCGGGTAACAAATACACGTGGTAACATTCAAATCTATGGCCCACGTGTTTCGATTGGTGAAACAAGTAGCGCTGGCTATTAAAACAACTTTTTAACAAATACAGGTTATTGTCTGCTGATTGGAATTAAAGTAAAGCGTGATGATTAAAATAATTGAATGACAAGTACTACTCGTAATTACTGAAATGGCCATGAACTGCACGTACATGTATATAAACCTACCGTAGTCTATATATTCTCAAATTTCCAAATAAGACATGGAGATTTTCTAAAATTTATTCACCGTTTGGATTTATCAACACCGTGAATATAGCGAATATTAACACCGCGAGTTATTTTCCCCCAAAACAGTATTCGAATTTCTAGAGAGAGAGAGAGAGAGAGAGATGGAGAGAGAGAAATGTCAACAATGGCACCGATCGATAGCCCCGCCTCCTATTAATATTGATAGTGTGACCTAAAAACAACTCCGGGTACATGTCAAATTCCGGAAGACGACACTAATGTATCGTTGCTGCAATTTTGATTCATGGCAACAAGGCATTGCTTTTGTACATTTGTTCTAGCTAAAATAAACATGTATACGTTGCTCTTGCTATTGCTTGCAATATATTTTGGATTCACTTTATTTTCACCTTGTTAGAATAGTCGCAAAAAGATCCAAAATAGGGCGTTAAGTCCACCCATTCTTTGTTTTAATCTGTAAACCTTTACTGAGTGTGTTTTGTCCATAATTGTAATTTTATTGAAATATTACTAATATTTTCAAAGTCCATTTCATTTTCCAGTTCTTTGGAGAAAAAATTCTAAGAATTATTCACTTTGCTAAACTTGTGGCATGTTTCCTCCAAAGAAAAAAAATGTTTGTATCATCTGTGCTTAATTAATAGACATTTCAGAAATGTGGTGAAATAAAAATACCCGCTAGTTCCTATATTTTATCAGATGATTTTACACTAACTGAAAAAGGCATGCATCCGCCAAAGAGCGCTACCACAATCTCCAAGATTACGTCAGCGGCAGCGTGTGCCAATAAGTGTCGGCAAAATCAGAATTTCCTCTGCCAAGGATTCTACTTCTGTGTTTCTAGCTCAGCATGTGTAATCAGTCAATCTCACGTCGACTCCGGTCCTTTAATCTACACTGCATTATCATGTGACCATTACTCAAGTATGAATTTCATATCATTTACTGATTTTGTAATACCATCACAAATGTAAAATATAATATTTACAACACATATCTCAAAATTATCAAATTTAACTTTAGAAAACTGTTATGTATTATCATTCATTACAAACTTTACACTTAAATCTCTGTTTTTACGGTGGTATATTTAGGACACGCAATTATTTTTTTTTTTTGAATACCAGAAAAAAATTATCTTGTGAAAACGACATAATAATCTTGTGAAAACGACTTATTATCTTGTGAAAACGAGATATTATCTTGTAAAAACGAGATATTATCTTGTGAAAAAGAGATATTATCTTGTGAAAACGACTTATTTTCTTGTGAAAACGACATATTATCTTGTGAAAACGACTTATTATCTTGTGAAAACGAAATATTATCTTGGGAAAATGAGATATTATCTTGTGAAAACGACATAATATCTTGTGAAAACGAGATATTATCTTGTGCAAACGAGATAATATGTTGTGAAAACGACTTATTATATTGTGAAAACGAGATAATATCTTGTGAAAACGACATAATTATCTTGTGAAAACGAGATATTATCTTGTGAAAACGACTTATTATCTTGTGAAAACGACTTATTATCTTGTGAAAACGAGATATTATCTCGGGAAAACGAGATATTATCTCGGGAAAACGACATATTATCTTGTGAAATCGAGATATTATCTTGTGAAAACGACATAATTATCTTGTGAAACGAGATATTATTTTGGAAAAACGACTTATTATCTTGTGAAAACGAGATATTATCTTGTGAAAACGAGGTATTATCTTGGGAAAACGAGAAATTATCTTGGGAAAACGACATATTATCTTGGGAAAACGAGAAATTATCTTGTGAAAACGAGATATTATCTTGGGAAAACGAGAAATTATCTTGGGAAAACGAGATATTATCTTGTGAAAACGACTTATTATCTTGTGAAAACGACTTATTATCTTGTGAAAACGAGATATTATCTCGGGAAAACGAGATATTATCTCGGGAAAACGACATATTATCTTGTGAAATCGAGATATTATCTTGTGAAAACGACATAATTATCTTGTGAAACGAGATATTATTTTGGAAAAACGACTTATTATTTGAGGTATATATTAAAGATATTTGAAAACGACATATTGGGAAAACGAGAAATTATCTTGTGAAAACGAGATATTATCTTGGGAAAACGAGAAATTATCTTGGGAAAACGAGATATTATCTTGTGAATACGGGATATTATCTTGTGAAAACGACATATTATCTTGTGAAAACGAGATATTATGTTGTGAAAACGACATAATTATCTTGTGAAACGAGATATTATCTTGTGAAAACGACATAATTATCTTGTGAAAACGAGATATTATCTTGGAAAAACGACTTATTATCTTGTGAAAACGAAATATTATCTTGGGAAAACGACATATATTTTCGGCTTTAAAATATGTTACATACGTTAAACTAGCTTATTTAGTATTTTGCTATTCTTTGTCAAATAGGCATATGGATGAAGAGTATACAAGAGCTAGATGATACATATATCATTAAGGAATGCTTGAAATTACATATAAATGTTCTACAATACAATGATGTAATTGGGACATCTCTGTTTTTATGAACATTCCTTCAACGTTAACGGATGCTAAAGCGAAAAATGTACATTGTATTCTTACATTTAAACATTTCAGATGGTATTTCATTCAAATACAGGAGGCCCAAGGACCTTATAGGTCACCTGAGTATCATGTAACAACTTTCCAAAAATTGAATTTGGTTCATGTTTTAAACCAGAGGCCATGAAATTCACATTTCGCGGTCTTTAAAGCGTAAACTGCCCCAAGTTATGTTATATCGCATAACAAAAGTTGAAATAACCTTCATTCCTTAATTTAAGGTCATATCTGCAAAATATCTGCTTGTATTAATTATTTTCATGTATTAATTTGATTAAAAATGTACTTTCTTGGGCCCTAAAACGAAATAAAACATCCTTAAACTTTATGTCCACAGTTATGTAATATATTCTGTAGAAAAACAGTTTTACTGCCTCCTGTAAAGTACCAAAATTCCATATACGACCTTTCATTTCAACGGTGTCGATAATATCTCGTTTTCACAAAATAATATCTTGTTTTCACAAGATAATATTCCTTTTTCACAAGATAATATTCCGTTTTCACAAGATAATATCTCGTTTTCACAAGACAATAATCCGTTTTCACAAGATAATAACTCGTTTTCACAAGATGTTTTCACAAGGTAATATCTCGTTTTCACAAGATAATATCTCGTTTTCACAAGATATTATCTCGTTTTCACAATATAATAAGTCGTTTTCACAAGATATTATGTCGTTTTCACAAGATAATATGTCGTTTTCACAAGATAATATATCGTTTTCACAAGATATTATCTCGTTTTCACAAGATAATATCTCGTTTTTACAAGATAATATGTCGTTTTCACAAGATAATATGTCGTTTTCACAAGATAATATGTCGTTTTCACAAGATAATATCTCGTTTTCACAAGATAATAAGTCGTTTTCACAAGATAATATCTCGTTTTCACAAGATAATTATGTTGTTTTCACAAGATAATTTTTTTGTGGTATTTTAAAAAAATAATTGCGTGTCCTAAATATACCACCATAGTTTTTTTTCAAGTAATAAAGTAATGTTTTCTTTGACTTTTGAAATAGAAACCGTCAATTCTACAATCGCTGTTCAGCCTTCCGTCGATGAAGCTCTTTCCAGAATCTCAAACGCGGTGTATGGTGGAGAATACCAATTCCCCGTTAGTTATGGGACATCTGTCTACGTACGTATCAGTAACAGATTGATAACAATGTTAATATTACTGTCAAATATGTATACTGTTACACGTCACCTGGTACCCATAGTTTTATAGCATAAATGTTCCAATGAATTATATTTGTTCCAGAACTATAATGCAACAATGGTCCGAACTAGTGTTTTAAGAAATGGAAGACCAAACGAGTCAAGTAATGAGTATTCATTTTATTCTTCTTGCATAACTAAAGTGCATTTCCTATAATGACGAAAGTGATCATTTCTTGAAAAAAAAAATACGTCACTGCATTTGTTAAAGGAAAAATTCCGTCACAAAAAGCAATTTAAAGTCGTTTTTAGTAAATGCTGTCTTTTACTATCTATCCTTTATATTTCAGATCTACTACTAACACATTTCTACATATATAGACAATACTTTATTTCTACTAACACGGACACGTCGTTTAGCGGAATTTCGGTGGAGGACTGCGCGAGGCGCTGTATATCGAACTTGGAATATGAATGTCTCTCCTTCAGTTACTGCTTCGATCTCGGGGATTGCTTTCTTAGTCATATTCACGCCGATAACTCGTCTGGTATAGTCCAACGTCAAGAATTCTGTGATTTGTACTCACGTAAGTCACTTGGTTTAATTATCTTAATATTTTAAATATAGTTGATGATTAATGAAGAAAATCATATTCAAACACATGAGGTGTTTAACTTTGATATTTTAGGTTACTTCTTGGATCAGTACACAATATCGTCTGGAATGACGTATTCTGTTAAAGCAGACGCAGCCATTCCCAAAGTACCCACAGCAAACCTGTGTGCTAAAGTGTGTTCACAGTATACCAAATTCCCCTGCAAGTCTTTTGAATACTGTACAAGCACAAATAACTGTCTTCTGTTTAAGTTACATGAGCTCGATCTGGAGGCCACAGCAGCTTCAACAAGTCTAACATGTAGTTTCTATAGTAGTAAGTATACAAGTAGAAATTGCGTTACAACATCTTTTGCCATTTTTACTAATCGCTTTTACTTGATAAAATGTATGTACATACAACATTGTAAATAGCTGTGTTGTTTTATCACACATTCATTGCTGCAATTTTTGGATGCATTAAAGATACAAAATATTTTTTTCACAGGAAACTTTATTCATGATTTCAAATTATTGCAAAGAAAGACAATGACATTTGAAAATGTGTTGGAGTTTTCGAATGTATCAAGTTCTCAATGTGCCAAATTGTGTGTGGAACAAGAAGGATCAGCTTGTAGAAGCTTTGCCTACTGTAATATGATGTCATTATGTAGACTGACGTCATCCCATCCAAGACAAACTGGGAACTCTGTGTCCCAGAGTGACACTTGTGACTTATATTCCAGTAAGTTTAGATAAATTATCTTGGTATTAATTTTTCTTCAATTAAAAATTTAACTGAAATAAACTTTGATTTGTCTTTAAAAAAAACTGAAAAAAATTATACAAATTTGCAAAGTGACATTAAAAAAGAATTCTATGAAGAATATCTATGAATCTATGAAGATGTTTTGTTTTGTATGAAATAGACAGATAATGTTTTCTTATACCAGTTTCATGTCCTTATGACGAAATCTCATACTTTATAATAACCATACTAAATCTTAAAACTGGCCTCAACTTGTAATTTTCTTTTACTGGATTTTACTGACGTTGCAAGAATAAATAAATAATTACAATTTTATAATAGGGAGATTCTACAATCCGTCCTCCTATTCTGGGCCAAGTTTCAGCAAAGCTCAAATTTCCACAAGAAGCCAAGCCAATGGATACAGTCCAGGTAATGTTGATCTCTAATGTTACCAAATCTAAAAAAAATTATGATACAAAACGAATATAACTGGATGTAAACGATGGTGATAAAAATTATTATATTGGTGGCCTTTCCAAAATGTATATGTATAAGATAAATGAAGTGAGTTCAAAACCTACTAACCTCTCTACTGCTTTATAATTTATATTTTTTATTTGGCTTTTTGAGCTGATAACTATGAAAAGTTGAAAACAACTTTTGAGGCTCTGTATGTATTAAATACTTTATGAACGCGACTTGGACATTCAAATTCGAAATGGTGAAAAGTGAATTCACTTTTGTCACCATCCTTTATTTCTTGTTTTAAATAATTTTTAAACTGTTTTAAAACTGTTTTAACTGTTTTAGGAGCGATGGCGGCCGTTGCCCTTTGCCTCTTCATCGCTGGATTAGCTATCGGAATATTAGGACTTTATTTTTATAATTATAGAAAAGCAATCAAATCAGGTGACAATATTGATCTAGTAGAACAATATGGAAATAATCCAAATTATGATTATATACAATCTGAATCGGAAAACAATATTGAAAATACTCCAGAGGAAGATGCCGATTCATAACATGGGATCAAATGACCTAATTTCTCCTAGGAAACCGATGGAAGGGTCTCTTCGTATGGGTGTCATATGAGTGAACGAAATCTCAACCGTTGTAGAAGGATGGAAAGAATGAGTAAATGTATAATGAGTAAATGATAATAACATATTTATGACATGCATGTACATTGTTAAATAAAGCTATGTAAGAAAAAATGAAATCTCCTTGTATGAAAATGATAAGATTTATTGCCATTTCTTTTAAGTTTATGAGAATATATATATATATATACATACAATATATATATATATATATATATATATATATATATATATATATATATATATATATATACACTAAAAACAAAAGAGTGATTTAAAAGAATTGCTACTTACACAAAAAAAATGCAAAAATTCAGAAGTTGTTTTTTTTTTATTTTGATGTTAACATTTAACTATTGATACATAATAAAACATCGTATGTAGAATATTAATTGTTTTAAAAAATTGATTAAGTTTTTACAAGTTCAAGAAAACAATATTACTAAATGATGGTATCAGTCAGATTAAAATCAATTTTAATTAGGTGCAAAGTCAGGTGAAAGTTATATCTTTTTCCTTGATATAAGAAATTAAACATTGGATGCCTACTTCTATTACAAAAGATTAGTTTTTTTTTCTTTATGGACAATAAAAACATGATCACAGGTCTATCAGATGATGATATCGAATTAAGAAGAAAAGAAGTAAATTAAATATTTGCCCATTCGATTTTCCCCTAGCTTTCTAAAATATTTTGGAAATATAGGTTCTCTCATACATTTATTTGCTTTTCTTATTTAAAACGGGATGACTTTAACTTTTCAATCGTCAACTTCTCGTACCTACCGGGGTTTAGATTCGATAAGCAAAAGCATAACTATTCTTAGGATCTCCATTATCAGTGATATCACTGGAATACCAAACAAACTCATTACCAACAAAATAGTAATTCCTCATATTTATATGAAATACAAATATAAATACATCAAAATAATGTCAATAAAAATAAAATGAAATACACAAGACATTCCATACATTTATTTCTATTTGACATATCATCAGACATAAACACAAAGGCAGTTCGGGAGCTTAACATTCATTTTAGACACTGGACCTTTCACCGTGTGAGATATATCAAAATCTTTGCGATTTTGACAGAGAATATTACACGTCTTTGTAATATAAATGGATGGTCATTCTTGGAAAGATTTGTTTAAACCAATATTGATTTCAAAAACCTGTAACAGTATCTGACAGATAATTTACTGCTAGACGTTTCTTCTTACATTTCAAATAAATATCCATGTAACAGAAAAGACGGTTGCCTGGTAACGAAATGTGCAAAATGTGCAAAATGACACTTACTTTCAATGAAACTCAAATTAAACACAAAAATATAAAGTAAGTATCAAATTAAAATCGACTTAATCTGGTAATTCTAATATGAAATATTTGTTTTAAAATATACGCATTAAAGATATTACTCCTTCAAATCGCTACATTTGCTATCGATCCAATCTTGCTGTATGTAGCGTTCAGAAAGAATTTAATACTGTGTGAGAATAAGGAAAAGTTGCATTGATAACGAAGAGGGAAAACAAACACGTAATAAGACTGTGATATTATACCGGGTAGTCTGAAGAATGAGCAATCACCAGTGCTTTGTCTTATATACTTTTGTCTTTGCTGTACTCGGATTTGCAGGTAAACGTTCAATTTTGTAAATTAACAATTTGCTTTATTTTACATGTATTTATTGAAAGTTAGTTTATTCTGATTTCCATGATTTACATACAGTGACTGAATATGATATTTGTCCTGTTGGATTTCCTGGTTCTATGAGTCCACGCCCTATCAGGCCGTCATCCTCTATCAGAAGAAAACACAATGGGATGCTATGCGAGACGGATTCTGATTGTCCTTCCGGTAAATGTTGCGGAGTATTGGGCCAAAACATGTGTGTTTATCGTCATGGTAAGATATATTTTCTTCAAAGTTTATAACATGTATCTGAATAAGATATGATGGAATAATCGTTTGAAAATACAAAATTGTCTTAATCAGATTCTTAATCCTTTGTGCATCTATAAACATCTAAGTGGGAATCTTTATAATGTTTTTGTGCACAACTTAAGGCAAATATGAACCGTAAGCAAAGGAATGAATTATTTTTTTACAGCAATTTTAATTGCTGATTCCAAATTTGGACATACTAATTCTGGAACAGAATTTTATGATCTACATATTTATTATGTTCAAATTACATTGTGTATTAATAGATCATCATAAACCCCGCCACAGACTTTCCGACAAGAGCGAAGATGGTCGGAAAAGTAAAGCAATGCGACAACTGTCAAAGTTTACCAACGTCATCGACCAATCAAAATTACAGAAATCTGCAGAGAACATGACTGCGCACTCCATTTCTATTGAGAAAACCGAGAGATACGGAAAAGGTGGAAACTGTAAGAACGCAGAAGAAAGTGGGTCTACAAGGGGGTGTGGCAGGGTGTCCAGGTGGAGACACCTGTTCTTCATCATCTGTCTGGGTGTCGTTTGCGCAGCTATCAGTTTCATTACTTTATCAGTCTTGTAAGTAGTCACACAACTAATCTTAAGTTCTTTTTATCGCCTCTGATGTTCAAACCGAAACCTTTTAAAAATAGGGAAACTATTAATTTTAAACTTGCATTAACGGTAATTTTAAGAAAAGTATTTTGGCAATCTATGATAGGCTGTGAAATCCTTTTCTAAAGGAATAAATGCAAAAAAAATTGTATTATTCGTCTGTAATTTTATTGAATATGAACGAAGATTTCTTAAAAATATTAGCAATAGCAGGTCTTTAAATTTGCTGAAAATTAAATACATAGCCTAGATTTGGCTGATGCTTAAACAATCACTGGTTTTGTAACATTGTGGGAATTTAAATAAAAAACTAAACTTTTAATTTTGAAAGTATTAACTTTTACAAGAAAAGCTGGGACGAGTTTAATTTTGATTGCATATCTACAGCAAATTACAGTTCATTTTGTTTCAAAAAAGTTGTAGGAAACGGAAGGATGCCAGCCCTAAGAAAGTTGTCGTAAAACAGGATGTTGTCCCAGTTGCTGCGCTTCGTAATCCTGATGTCTCAGTAGCAACTGATTCCAAGAAAATGGTTGTCAATTTGGACGACTGCCAATTGTAACCTATAACCATCAAGTAAAAAAATATCATGGCTTTGAAAGGACATCGATACAAATGAAAAGTTAAAACTTGAAAAGGTTACACTGAAACAAAATCTAAATCCATATCTTTTTTTCATAGTTTTAAACTATAGAATCACCGGTCTTTTCTCACATAAAAATTATACAATTGATTTTCATTATAAAAGAAACTAAAGAGATTCAGATTGGGAACCGTTAGTCATGAATAAGAATTAAACGAGAAAATTATTTAACTCGTAAAATTAATTAAGATATTGTTAAAATGAACAGTAGTTCGAAAACTCAAATTTGTACATCTATCAAGCATACAAGCACAGTTTTGAGACCGAATGACCCTTTTAATGTTCATTTATGTATGTGGGTATGAAGAGAAAAAAAATTAAGCATTAATGTAATAATGCTTGATAATTAATGTTAAGATGCATTCATGTTTTAACAATATGGTATATAATTGATTCACAATTTTGGTAAACAGATTAAGGTTAATGATTAAAAAATGAACAAAAATTATCTATTATAACACATTTATTGTTATCTGCTTATTGGTAAATTACAACTCTTTGGGTATGAATTCTTTACCAAACTTTTAAAAAAAATATTTTTTTTATTAAATAAACGATTTTTTCTATTTTCTTTTAATTAATGTTTATTTGTAAAGTGTGTGCCTTATATAGAAGAATGTATATTAGCGATATAGTTAGAATAGTGTAGTAAAAGTATGAGAGTGATATTTTCACCGTTTAATTTTTAAATTATGTATTCAAACAACCTAAAATTATATCCTATTTTCCTTTTTTGATTATTTAATGATTAAATTCTACTTGTAACACGTCATTTAATTGAATAAAAGATTTATTTGATATTCTATCACAAGTTGCCTACTTCGCAATGGGCTTCTGTAGTAATAAAAAAAACAACAACGTAAAACTTCGCTTAATTGGCGCCAATTTGAAGCCAATTGTGGAGGAAAAAATAGTTTATTGTCTACACTGAAATAAAATTATAAGGAATGAAACTTATTTTAACCTTGGCGGTTTATAAAGCGTAAACTGCCCCAAGTTATGTTATATTGTATAACATAGGTTAAAACAAGCTTAATTCCTTAAATGATATTTCAATGTAAAACGCTTCTGTTGTCTCATTTATCAACTTGTTTCTGGTTGTGTTAGGATAATGATATTTTCCTTTTTAAATATTACAAAGAAAGTTGTGAAACTATATATGTCTCACGAAGCATCGCTAAAAGAGAGTAACTTATTGGATATATTCTGACTGTGCACACAATACTGACTATCAATAGCAAACCATCATTAGAAGAACTATTACTGTATTAAGTGAGGCAGAATATTCATTCCAAAACTTTTAATACCGTGCAACAATATGTTCGAGAAGTGATGTAAAGCAGATGTGGATGCTTAAAAATTCGAAGGAACTTTTGTAAAATTTGAAATCACATGATTTTACCATAATCATCAGCTTAAAAGATTACGACTTTTCAACTTTATACACAATTCATTCCCCGCTAACTAATTGTTAGTCCATTATTTACACTGAAATGACGACGGATTTTACGTTATTTCCCGATCATTCGGCGGATGTGACCGGTCGGCAGGATATACTCAATCCTCCATGACACCTGATCCCACCTTTAATGTTTTGGAGGTCCGTGTTTTCTCTGCTCCTATTTTGAATTCGATTAAGATTAAGTTATCTATTTATTTATAATATTTCAACTTTTAAATCTTCAATCCCTCATAATTATTTAGAAAAACAACCATCACCTGCATTTATATTCTACTAATTGATTCGATACAATAACATACTCTGTGTACAAAATATTTCTGAAATGCAGCAAATTGTTGACAAATAAGTTGATGAAACAATGATATCAACAATCTAGTTGACAGGTATCTTTTTTGTCAAGTTCTTTGTTAGAAACAACAACACCCCTGCTAATGTTATTGTGATTTAAATTCTAGACACGTGGTTTAGATTTACCTATTCAAAGGTTACAGGGTAGAACCGGTTTTATAAATAAAGTTGGCAGTAAACAGGAAATTGCTATAGTCTGTTTCTTCTGAAAACATATCTGTGAAAAATGTGTTTCCACACCTTTCTGAGACTTTCATGATTTTCAACAGAAATTAATGGGTGGCTTAAAAAGGGGAGAATATCTGCACCAAGGGTTCGGGGGACTTCAAATGTTCGTGATTGTATTGTTTTACAATTAATACATCTTATCTTTCTATAGTTTACTGCAAAAATTGCAGCAAAATCTTCTACAGCTATAAATAAGATATACGCTGGTAAAAAATGTATATATATCATCTACACTGACAAACCTAATATTCTAGCCTTTCATTTGTTAATTTTTGTTAATTCAAAGACACATTTCACATTTAAAGTAATTTAGACATCACAGATTTGTCCAGAAACCAGGTTTATCTTTCAATTTTTTTTAAATACATATTAGATGGATTTGAATATTTGCTTTCAAGGTAATTTAAAACTCACAATTAGAAGTACATTTAATTTCTGATTTATGTTCTGATTTATGTTCTGATTTTAGCTACGATCCAAATTTAAGAATATACAAACGTATTCCCTCACAGTTAATAGTTAGCAATATTAGGTGCACAATATAAAATTATATGAAAACGTGTATCGAAGTAAGATTATATATTTCTGTAATTATCAACTGTGGATGATAAAGCCTCTGAGGTTTTAGTAATTTATAATGCATTAAAAGAAAACGGCCTAATTTTTGATTCCTTTGCACTTTTTACCTCAATCCTTTTAAAGGTAGAGTGCATTGTTCATGGATCATGACTAAGTGTATATTTAGCCCCTTGTCACGGGACTCCTGTTCTGTTCGGCTGCACACAGCTGGGTATTGAGCGGGTGCCTGTAAATTAATATAAAGCTGCGCGGTCGATGATCAGACGACTAGAGGCTGCCGCCATGAAGACCGCTCTATCTGTCCTCGTTCTCGTAGTTTTCGCGGGACTGTGCTTCGCACAGGATTACCAAGATACACCAACACCAGGTAAGGAACGAATTAATTCTCTATTTGATCTCATTTTGATGGCATATCTTCAATGAATTTACATTTTATTTTGTTATCATTTTAGAGCCATCTCTGGGAAAATGTCCCAAAGAATTTTCGATGATAGAGTACTTTAGACCTAAACCATGTCGTAGAGAAAAACCCTACTGTCCCAGGGGTCTCATCTGCTGTCCTTGTCCTAAAACAGGAAAGAAATACTGCATCCGACCCAGGTTGGATGGTAAGTGTAAATCAACAGAGTTGTCAGAAGCTAACACGTACACTTTATACTTACCTATTTCAAAGTGTTGGATCAACTCAAATCTCCTAACATTTACAGAGCATAAACCATTTTTTCGTTAACCTTCAAGATATCCCCTTACTAGTGATGTTTCCTCAAATTTGTTTATTAACAACCCCTTTTATTTTCATCAGATGAACAATCCGTCGATGACAGTGAATCTTTCTGGGAAGAAATGAAGAGGGAATTTATGGGTAAGCATGATGATTACGATTGTAAGGATGATGATGATGATGACGACGATAGAAAGGAGGACGATGATAGAGTTTATGAGATGGATCGTCTGGCCGAGGAAGAAAAGGGACACACGGGCACCGGGAAACACCGCATGCGGTGTCATCACAAACACCACAGATTCCACAGAATTCTCAGGATCGCCGCCCCAGTCGTCGGAGTGATCATCTTGGTTGTTATTGCTGTTACAGTGGCATGGTATGTCATAGTTAACGAATAAAATGAAAATATATTTCATAAAAAATGTAATAAAAAAAATAATATTAGTTGCAAGTTTTTCATACAAATATTTCATATATTACTTTGTTTATATCCTTTTATAGCTGCATCCGGCGCAGGCGCAATAGGCAAGCTGCTGATAGAGCCAGAAAATCCGTTTACACACCGGAAAACATCGCTCCTGTTACCGAGAAGGCGACAATGAAAGGAATGCTGGGCCTGGAATTTTCACCGGAAGTCTTTGTTTCTTCTGAGCCTCCGTACAAGAAACTGGAGGAAGAGAAAGAACGCATTTAAATCAAAGTTCTGTTCTTTTTTTGGGATTACCTTGAAAGAATATGTAGACTTTGCGTGATTTTTTTGTAAATGATTATTCATGTGTACTGTTTGGACACCTTTTGTAATCTTATTTTGACACATTGTATATATTTATCATATCATATTTTTTAACACTGAATGACATGTATATTGAATGAAATTTTTTTTTCCAAATATAAGCATGCATATCATTGAAATAGTGAAATACTCTGTTTTCTTGCTGTTTTACTATAAAGGTACTGTATTTGTTTTGAATGAACTCCAAAATGTACTTTTACTCTTATTTACAAGAGATTAACGAGAGGATTTGTAGACCTTCAGGGTCATTTAAGATTTAATTTACCTGCAGGACAGGAAAAATCTTCCTAGAATTGTTGATTTTTAATAAAAAAATAAATATTTCTAAAAATCAATTGTCTTATGATTTCTTTCAATGAGAATAACTATAGAACTTTTTGCAGTATGTCTTTTGAGGGTATTTGTAACAATATACCTGAGTATGAAGATGGAATATTCAATATTTGTGATGTATTGATATTCTCAACAAGGAATTCAAGAAGTTGAGACTATTCAATAAAAAAAAGAAGGAATGCTTGCGTGCTGTGAAGAGAAGGCAGTTTATGGTTTATGAAGTAGAAAGATTTTCTCTGTCTTTCCAAAGTATCATCTGATAAACGGATAGGAAGGAACCAATGTTTCACATATTTTTAAAAGATGTTAACTATATAAAACTTTTTGGTGAAAAAATAAATTAACAATATGAAGGAAAATAAAACTTTATTTCGATTTGGCCGTTAATTGTCTTCAAAGGGCCCTATCAACAAGAAGTCTTTGATATTTATGATTATTGTAATGGAACAAAATTTTAATTTGTGAGCTGTACCTATATTAAAACTATAAAGTATCTATTTAAAGACTTTAAGGAATATTTTATGATGCGGTATACATTCATAACATGTATACCAGGTAAAGAGATTACCCAGAAGTATTTTAAAGGGAGAAAAATATGACCAGAGAGTTCAAGCCCGTAAGTACTGTGTAATTTCAATAGAAATCATTAAGGAGAACGACCTATCTGTGTCACTTGATATGAATGACAATATAAACAAGAAAAAAAGTCTGCATTGCGGGTATGATAATCCGTCACGTTTTTTGGCAAAGTGCCAAGAAATATCTTACACAACTACTACTGGTTGGGTGCAAAAAGTATTGATATACGAGATGCGTTTTTTTCTCTTTTTTTTAAAAACGTGACAAATACGCTATTAAATGACCAGAAAAGTATATATCAAAGCTACACACATTGCACAAAATAAGGTTTAATATCGATCGTGCTTGTCATATCGATCTATCTTTTAACTACTATCGTAGGCCTTTTAAATTTTTCATATGTAGTTAATTGCTTAACGTCTTTGAGATTCAGCCAATATTATGGTACAAAAAACATTGTAAACGTTTTCAATGAATTGATTTGAAATGAAAACCATTGTATTCGGAGTTGTTTTCGCCGTTTCTCTTGTTTTATCACAAGGTAGGTTATTCCTTTTAATAATTTCCATCACAGAAAAATGTAACTTGAAGAGTTTTTTTTTCAAACACATTACATTGTATTTCAAATTCCACCTCTGAAATAACTGAAAAATTTAATTATGACAATGTGTACACAAAAGAACGTTTGGCAAACACTAATTTGAAGAAATGGTGATCGAATAAAATCAATCTAAATGTAGTAAAATAGGCTTTGAATTTTAACTCATTATAGCCCATAAGGAGGAATGTCCCTCCAGGGAAGAAGTGCGCAAGATGGATCTAATATCCCTGGCTACGGCGCAAAGTTGTTACTGGGATACGGACTGTCAAAAGGAGGAGCGGTGCTGTAAAACACCGAAAGGGAAAAAATGTCTCAGCACCAAGGATGCAGGTTTGTCAAAGAAGAAACGAGGGGTGATAGTTTCTATTTTAAAGTGAAAGGAAGGTCAGTAATTGAGTCATAACTGTCTTTTTCAGACAAAGAATACTCACTAAAAGAGAAAAATGATGACAATGACGATGAATGTAATGATGATGATAATGATACAAAAAGGGACGGTAAAAATCATCATTCTAAATGTCACAAACATGGGTTTAGAGGTGCATTGATTGTCACAGCTGCAGTACTAGGGGTGGTTTTGTCGATTGTTGTTTCCATAACGTAAGTCACTTTTTGTTTATAACTAGAGTATCTTTTTCATGTCATTGCTGTCTCTATAGTTAAATTTATTTTGTAAAATGAAAAATGAATCTACTTTTTTTTCATTTGCCCACTATAACCTCTCTCTCTCTCTCTTTATATATATAGACAGTGTCTGGGAATTTGAGATTAATTAATGATGAATTTTCTAATTCCTTTCAAGCTTGGTGAAAAAGTTTTGTGTTCGGAGCAAAATAGGGAATTCACAAATTGATATACGTGGAAAAGATCCATCTGGACGTTCATCTAACTACATCGTCAAACCAAAAAGCACATGTGTATATGATTCTACAGAAATCGCCAGAAAAGAAGAATGCTGGAGGGTAGATACTCCACCGCCTCCTTACTTCATCTCCCCTACCGCTCCTCCTGCTTATTCAGTAGATCCGCCACCCAGCTATTCACATCAAGCAAAAATGAGTGGACATATGGATAAATATTAATATTTTTATGAAATTTGGGACGATTTCATTACTGTTACTTGTTTCTTATAAATATAACACATTGTTATTGTTTAATAAACTTTATCATATCAATAAGTACTTTTGTCGGTCAATTTTCCATCAAATATTTGCTTCTTAATTAAGGTCAAGATCTATAGTAAATAACTTTAGACTATTTTTTTGGTGCTAGATCCATTGTGACGTCATAATCAATTTCAACTTTCTTTTTCCCGTACTTTACGGCTTTAGCAGAATTATGTAAAAAATAAAAAAATTAGGGTATTTTCATGACATTCAATTTGAAATCAATGAAAAGTAAACCGGATACCAATATCAAATGTGATATCAGTTTAAAGAAGAGGCCATGAACATACTAATTACCGTTTTCTGAGAGACTGTAGGCAATCTGGATACATTTCCTTTGTCGAATATGAAAAAAAAAACCATATTCCTGACTGGTTTTCTTAAGGTAGGATTCTTCTCACATTTCTTATAATTAAAAATTAATGAAATTTTCACAGAATCAAAAGGACAATATCACTAAGTGAGGGTATCAGTGCGATTATTTGAAATATTAGAGGCAAGGTCAGGTCAAGGTCAACCTTTTTACACACAAGAATAAAAAATTATCAATCATGGATTTGTAATTAAAAAATCAATGTTTTTCAGCATAAAAAGATCTACCAAATAGGGCCTATAAATGAAATTTAAATTGACATTGATATTTAAATAAAAGTATACACAACCTTAATTTTCATTAATTTTTTGGGATATATTAGTTATTTTTAACTAGTATTTAACTTTTTTTATTTTCACATATAGTAAAGTTGTCACATAAAGGTACATAATGATACAAAAACTAAAAGTTTTGATCGTTTACTTAGAGAGAAATAACACTTTTTACGGATTTTTGGCTCAAATTTGAACTTAGATTTGAAGCACTTAAAAGCCAACATAACTCTAGTATGTGTGAAAAATCTAGTTTATTTGATATATTTTGAAACTTTAGTCCCTTATAATAAATATGACTAACATTTGAAAATTTCGTCTCGTCTTTTATTGCGTAAAAATTATAACTAAATTCAATATTTTTCTATAATAATTTTGAGAGGCAGAAAAGAAGATATTTACCTACGCCACCATTCCGCCAAAAATATAGTCCCTGCTAGTTTTCAAACACAATTTACCATTTCCATCTAAAGTTGTATAATTGTGATGAGGAAAGAAAAATATGGTCTTTTAAATCTTTTAAAGGTAGGATTCTTCTCTGGTTTCTGACTAGATGGAATATTCAAAGTACACTTGTTGATATGTCATATATTTAGATGCAAGAGATTTAAAAGACCATATTTTTCTTTCCTCATCACAATTACACAACTTTAAATAGAAATTGTAAACTGTGTTTGAAAACTAGCACTATATTTTTGAATGGTGGCTTATGAAAATATCTTTTTACTTGAAAATTATTTAGAACATTAAATTTGGTAATTTTTATGCAATAAAGAACCGAAATTTTCAAATGTAATATATTTAAATTAAAGTTTCAAAATTTTAAATCAATTTTTCACACATAGTAACTTGTTGGCTTTTCTGTGCTTATCCAAGTACAAATTTTTGCCAAAAATCCGTAAAAAGTGTTATTTTTCTCTTAGTAAACGATCAAAACTTTTAGTTTTTATATCCTTTTGTACCTTTATGTGACAACTTTACTATATGTGAAAATTAGAAAAAGTTAAATATAGGAATCATATAAAAATAACTAATAAATCCTAAAAATTTATGATTTCGTAGATGAAATTCGGATTACAAATATCCATTTTATTTAAATTATCATGTCAATGGTAATATCATCTTAAAGGCCCTATATGGTAGTATCTTTTTAAGCAAAAAGGAAAACATTCAATCTTTTGAATTACAAGTAGGGATCGTATAATTAAGAACAGTAATTTTTTATTCTTAATGTCCAGGAAAAAGGTAATGACATTGACCTGACTTTGCCTCTAATATCAAACGGTCAAATTTAATCTCACTGATTCGATCACATAGTGATGTTGTCCTCTTGATTCTGTGAAAATTTCATTAATTTCTAAATACAAGAAATATGAAAAGAATCCTACCTTAACAATGACAGTTGTAGGGTACTTAGTAAAATATAATATCATATATATAATGTAATATTGAAATTTTCATCTACGCATTCTAACTAAGTCTCAGCTCATAATGAATAACGGTTTTCTTAAATGATAATCGTTTCACTATCATTTTTTTTGCTTAGTTAAATGTTTTTCCTCCATATATTAGTCCTTATTTTCACATGCTTAAAAATTCCAAGGAACTTTTGGGCAATTTGAAATCATAGGATTTTACCAAAATCAACAGCTTAAAATCTTAGAAATTTTCAACTTTATACACAAGTTACACAACCATTTCCTACGATAAATTAAAAGCCAGGCTTTTTGATATCATTGACAGCTGCCTTTTCAAATAAATGGATCTTGTAATTTTACTTACCCTTTCATTGGTTATTTGCAAAATAACTTAGTTTAAAAACACTCTGATTGTACACACAAGTACTCAAAATTTGACATCAAAAATATGTTTGAGTTTCTAATTGATAATTTCTATGGATTTTGGTGACCAGATCTTCAAAACATCTATTATAATTTCCATGGATACCTTCCGCCCCATTATAGGCAGACCTATTTTTGTATTCATATGAATACATGAAAAGAAGAAAACACTTGCTTCGGCCTTCAACCCGTCATTTCGATATATCGACGACGTATTGTCAATTAACAGTTGTTATTTCCATTCTTATGTCGATACGATATATCCTGGTGAGCTTGAGATAAAAGGTACCACAGAGTCTGACACATATGTTTCATATATTTGGATATTTTACTTCATAAAGACCTTAATGGTAATCTAACAACCTAGCTCCTTGGTAAACTTGATTACTTTAACTTTTCAATCGTCAACTTCCCTTAATTATACAGCAAGAGCATTCCCTACATATGTACAATTTCTAAAACGAGGTAAATTATAGACAAGCAAGTTGATGAAGCAAGGATATCAGCAGTCATCATTTCGTAAGTTCTATGGTGGATACAATGACCTTGTCAGCAAATACAATTTATCATTGAGTTAAATGCTGATTGAACCTTTTTCATACCAATTGTTAGTCCATTATTTATACACTGAATTGACGGCGGATTTTTCCGTTATTTCCCGATCTTAACAAGGAGCACACGGCTCGTATGACCGGTCGGCAAGGGATGCTAACTCCTCCATGGCAACTGATCCCACCTCTGATGTTTTGTAGGTTTTGTGTTTGCTATGCTCCGATTTGGTATTGTTTAACAGACTTTTGAGCTAAAAAAATGTTTGTTAACTCCATATATTTCATACATTGACGACATTTTATCAATCAACAGTAATTGTTTCCATTCTGTGTTAACAAATCTCAGTGAACTCGAAATAATTTAATTCTGGTTGTAACGCTGTATTTGATTGGATAAAAAATTTATTTCATATCGTATAAAATGGGTTGCCTACGTCACAATGACTTGCGTCAAAAACGTATCAATCCGCCTGACGTTACATTCAAATTTTGTAAAAAATGAAGTCATTTGTAAGAACAATCATCTTTTTTTCTTACATCAAATGAAAGAAAATTAAATTATAAGCAATGAAATTAATAGCTACCCATTTTATACGGTATAAACTGGGTTGGAACAGTTTACGCTTTTTTATAAACCGAATCTGTCACAATTGCTGCATGCTTAATAATATCCTACTTTCTGTATATAAAAGTGAACTCACAACTAAATTATTTCTAATAAAACCATGATTATTAAGATCCTTAAAATATAAGATCCACGTCTTGATGTTTAATGTGAATAAATAAGGAAATTGAACAGTGATGAAACTCAAATCAAATGAGAAACATGAATCGCGAACAGAGTCTAATACGTCCCCTGACTCGGAAGAGTCAGTAATCGGTCTAAACCGTCACGGTTTCTTTAAATTATTAAGGAATATATTTGCATATATTTATGTTTATTAGTATATATGTATATAGAAGGGGTTTATAAAAAAAAACGTAAACTTCTCTAACCCCAGGTTATACAAGACTAGTATAACTTGCTTTGCTATTTAATTCATTCCTTATAATTTAATTTTCAATCTTTAAGCATAGAAAGCAAGACAATTTCTCCCTTATGGTAGGATTCTTCTCTAGTTTCTGACTAGATGAAATATTCGAAGTATATTTGCTTATTTTTTTTCTTTCCTCGTCAAAGTTGTTGAAATGGTAAACTGTGTTTGAAAACTAGTAGGGACTATATTTTTGGCGGAATGGTGGCTTATGAAAATATCTTCTTTTCTGCCTCTCAAATATATCATAGAACATTGAATTTAGTTATAATTTTTATGCAATCAAAGACCAGACGAAATTTTCAAAAGTAAGTTAAATTAATAATAAGGGACTAAAGTTTCAAAATATATCAAATAGATAAGATTTTTCATACACACTAGAACTATTTTGGCTTTTAAATATTAATGCTTCAAATCCAAGTACAAATTTGTGACCTTGACCTGACCTTGGCTCTAATATTAAACGGTCAAATTTAATCTCACTGAAACCATCATGTAGTGATATTGTCCTCTTGATTCTGTGAAAATTTCATTGATTTTTAAATACGAGAAATGTGAGAAGATCCTACCTTAAAACGCCTTCAAATTGTTCATATTTTAAACTTTATTTTACATATTTTAAACTTTACGTCGAGCGCAGTGATACGTTTTTGACGTAAGTAATTTTGACGTAGGCAACACAGGTTACACAGTATAGATCAATTTTTTATCCAATCAAATGACGCGTTACAACCAAAATTAAATTATTTATGGAATAAACAAAATAATATGTAGTCAAAATAGCGTAAAAACAATGACCAATAACAATTTGCGGGAAGTGTAGATGAGGATTTACAAAATAATAAGATCAATACATGTATAATGATCATATGGATGTGAAATGGTTCCGTAAAAACAGAAAATAGTAAACATGGTGACATCAACTTATTTGTTAGTTGCCTTCATAGATTATTGATTACATTCATAACGTTCCCAATCATTTGGAACACATAAACAACATGTGTAGAATATAGTAATTTATAAGCAGGAAAAGATATGAGATCCTGATGCCAAATAAAAAAGAAGCATGTACAGAAAGACTAAGTCTTTTGTTACAGAATGAGTCTTTCTGTAAAGAAAATTTAACATTTTTCTATTCTAAAAAAATCAAATAAATACGATGAATTTAAAGTTATCTTTAACAAAAAATATAGTATATATATATATATATATATATATATATATATATATATATATATATATATATATATATATATATATATATATATATATATATATAAAAATACCAACGACATATACAATAAAAATTGTCAAATTTAGGGTACGCCCTGTCCCTTCCTCAGGACAAAGAAAAGAGTTAAAAAGTCATAAGAACAAAGGAAAATGTGAATGAAAAAACAACTAGCACTACTACTAAACTACTAAACACTATATATTTACATACTAAGTTACATGTTGATTTGGAAATTTTTAAGAACACTATTTAAGAAAGAATCCGGACCGCTATGAAATGCGTTGAAAATCGGGTATACTTGGGTGAAGTGCGATTTACATAATTGAACGAATTAATTAGCATAATTAATTAATTCGTTCAATTATGTAAATCGCACTTCACCCGAGTATACCCGATAGACCGGACGCATTTCATAGCGGTCCGGATTCTTTCTTTAATAGTGTTCTTAAAAATTTCCAAATCAACATGTAAGTTAGTATGTAAAGATATAGTGTTTAGTAGTTTAGTAGTAGTGCTAGTTGTTTTTTGTTTCGCTTTTTCCTTTGTTCTTATGACTTTTTAACTCTTTTCTTTGTCCTGAGGAAGGGACAGGGCGTCCCGAAAATTTGACAATTTTTATTGTTCGTGTCGTTGGTCATTTTAGTGCTTTTTATAAATTTCCATCCGTGACCTTGTATCTACTTGATAGATCCGACATTTTTGATATACAGTGTTGTTGGTTTTTTTAGTGCTTTATTATATATATATATATATATATATATATATATATATATATATATATATATATATATATATATATATATATATATATATATATATATATATATATATATATATATATATATATATATATATATATATATATATATATATATATATATATATATATATATATATATATATATTATAAGAAATGAATGTAATATTTTTTTCTTTGATCGATGTATCAAAGAAAAATTTGGACATAAAACTTCATCAATGCGCGTAGCGCATTGATGAAAAAGTTTTCCGTCCAAATTTTTCTTTGATACATCGATCAAAGGAAAAAATATTACATTCATTTCAAAAAATGTTTATCATTTAATTATGCTTTTAAATTAATAAAATGAATCTTTCTTTCACCTTTCTATTAAATTTACGCATCAAAAACAGTGCGCACGAATACATCACAACAACGTTAACGTTGCTGGAAATCAAAATGGCTCAAACGATCGAAGAAACGTTCTCAAATATTGTCGTGGCATTACCAACATTCTCTGAAATAATTTACAGTTCTTTAACACAAAAAAACTTACCTGTTGTGTTATCCCAATCGGTATATTTTCCCTGGTAAGTTATCTAAGTTCGCGTTCGTAAATGTAAAGGGAAGCTACTCAAATATCCTAACAGTTCCAACGTTTGGTCACAGAAATTTTGGATTTCATTTGCACATCTTTTCATCTGAATTCCAAACCGAACATATAAATACGTATCACAACCTGTCAATGCTGTAAAACCTGAAAGATTCTGCTGCCGACTGTTTAAGAATAAAAGAATCTGTCCTCATTCATGCAGTGTCGTTTTTCTCGATCATTCGTTTCCCAAGTTTTAACAGACTAACGGTTTTTCCTCTCTTTGGTAGCATAAAAAAAAGTTTCTTCAGAATTCTATTGTTCATACCAGACATATCAAAGCCAAACATTTAACAAAAGTATGTCGATTTCTTTCCTTCTTTCCCAGAACTGTAGTGTTCACTGTTGTTATGCAGACGATTTGATTTGTTTAGCAAAGGGAGATAATTCAAAAAGAAACGAAAGTAGAAAATAAGTCGGGGACGTAACGGACAGGTTTCGAAATTCAGGAAAATATTTATTAAAGTAAAAGTATTTAATTATTCCTCCAAGAAGTAACCTGGAAGCGGGAAATATACATGTAGAGACTGCCAAAGTAGTTCCGGCTGCTTAGTGCAAGCGAACTCTAGATTTTATTGATGCAGGTATCAAAAGAATTTTTAAACCAATCAGAATCAAGTATTTTATAGAAATTAAATGATATATATATACACTCAACCAAAAAAGAAACGCATATTGTTTTACTCGTCAAAGAAATTTTTAAAATGTACATGAAACAACTATTTTTTATATCATTGGATACCTGTGACCTATTTAAAGGACAACATGGGGTTTTAAAACCCAAGTGTTGAATTATCTCCCTTGATAAAACATGTTTATGAAAGTAGTGTTTTTCATGATTTCTTCTAAATCAGATGTCTATTTTCATTGATATTTTGGATTTAGAGAAACTTTTAACACTTCTATTAAACCCATATTTAAGATTTGATTGCAGTGTTAATACTGCAATGCCACGCCCAAACAAAGATGAATACAACCAGGCTAACGATGATACTAAATGGAGCTACGCAACAGGAAGTTGCAACTGTATTTGAAATAAATCAATGGGCTTTGCAACCTTAAAACTAACGTCTGAAGACCACTATCTGGCCATCCGCAGGTAACCACAACCAGGCAGGACCGTCAGACACCCCTCCCCCTTCATCACCTCATGCGATTCAGAACTTAATGTAAAAACTGCTGCTACAATTGCTGGATGAAAAAATCAGCATAAAAATGCATAAATTGTTTGCATGAGACTAAAATGAGATGATATTCCCCCCCCGATATCCGTACATTGGAAACCCACTAACATTGAGACATTGCACAGACAATATTGTTATGCCCCTTGAATTTGGGGGCAATGAAAATGACCTCAACTTGACTTTTCAATTTGCAACATTGATTTTTATCACAACAAACTCTAAAATCGCTTAAATAATACAAGGATTAAACTGAAAACTTAGAATTTCAAATTATCCTGATTATGCGTTTCTTTTTTTGTTCAGTAAATGTATATATATATATATATATATATATATATATATATATATATATATATATATATATATATATATATATATATATATATATTTTTTCAAGCTTTACAAAATTACTGTTTTAAAATTTTGAGTGGACTTGTAAACCAATGAAGAGGCTTTTGTTGATTATAGTGCTTCTCTCTATTTTTTCATTAAATATCTGAACAACTGCATTGCAAAAAGTAGTCCCTGGGTCAAGTGTGTTTACAAGAACTTATAATAAGACTTTCTTCGTTACCAGGAGGAGAGACGAATATCTCTATTATTGGTTGTCTTTTTATTTTAACCTCATACAGACACTTTCTACGATAAAGTTTGATTCCTATAGATGAAAATATGTCATCTTTCTATTCTATTTGGAATATGGTATATTAGTGTTTCATAAAGATATTTACCCAAGTTCTTTAAGTGATCAAGACATTTCAAGGTCACATTCTTTATTTGCATAAAGGTTTTGGATTTTTAAAAGTCACGATTTCTATTTATTTAAAATGTGCATTTGATGTATACACGTATATAAAGACTTTAAAAGATGCAATCATAATTAGGTACTTCTGCACGGAATTGTCCAACATGTCCAATGATCCACAGATAGCGAACGGAAGGCATGATAATTAAACAATATCTATTGTTAACCAACCTTATAGTTTAAGTATATTAAGCCGACAACAGCAGAGGCCTAGACAGTGTCGGGAGACGGACCTTTAAGTTAATTTACTAGCATGAATAGTAAAGCCATAATCTTCTGTTTCCTTACCTTTCTCGCAGGTAATAATTATGTTCAAATTTTACTTTTTATTAATTCATTTCTTTGCATTTTATAAGATTTTTTAAACAATGATATTGTAAATTATTTAACAAATTAAAGGTATTTTTAAAACAATATTTTCTAGCATTCTTAATGTACTATTATTAACTAATAAATTCATAGTAATTAAAACTGATAAAAAGATAAAAGACACTAACTTTATGTTTAATTCATTACAGGTGAAATCGCTGCTTCTTCCCACGAAGGTAAAACAATTCAACGTATCAATTTTTATTATACAGCGGTTGCTTTTTGAATCTCCACTTTTTTCATTTTTTTTTCAGAGTAATTACTGGTATTTATATGTAAAGGATTTTCTAGCAACTGTCAATTAATTAAATAAATTTTATCCTAAAAATGGCATTTATGAAAAGCATATATAGTTCTAGTGATTTAAGGAACATTTACCAAAGTTCAATTGATATTGAATTACATTGTATTACCAACATAAACGAACTTTTACTTTGATAATTGATTTCTTTTCTTTCCAAAAATATAACTTTTTTTAAAATTTGTAATCCAAAATTTTGTTAAGCTTTGTTAAAAAAAAGAAAAAATATCAAGTTTCATTTTCATGTTTATTATAATATTTATACATGTAGTATGTCCAGCTACAGTACCTTCTACCGGAGGGGGCGGGGCATTGCTAACATGCACGGATGATTCCCAGTGTACCTTAACGGGAGAAAAATGCTGCAACGTCACTAGTGGCTCCGGAAAAGTCTGCATCAAAGCAGGTGAACACTACCTTAATTTGACAACTCTTACTAACTCCACGCATGCAAAAAAATTAAAGAAATTCAGAGTTACTTATCATAATGTTTAAACGTATGTGTAGTGAGTCTGAAACATCATGATGACGAGGATTGTGATAAAAAGTCACACAAGAAGGACAAAGATGATTGTCACAAAAGAAAACATGGCAAGAAACTGGTTATAATCATCGTGGCGGTCGTCGTTGTCGTCGTCGTTGCTATCGTTGTTGGATGGTGAGTTGATCTCATTCAGCATATTTATACATTATTTTTCAACATTAAAACGCAGTAGTCAAGTTGTCCTTCACATGTTCACCAATTCTTTTTAAATTAATTTTTCCAAAGTACTATATTACTAGTATTTATATTTATATTTTTGTGTAATGGTATAAAAATGATTTCGGATCCATTGATAAAATCATTTTACAGTGTAATCAGAGTGAAGTGTTTCAAAAAGAAGATCAGCGATTCCCAAATAGACCTGCATAGTGAGAAGAATGAAAGCAAACTGGGCAAGGATTACACCCCCACTGTAGTCATCTCAGGGGGAGGAAAACTGAAGGAAGAGGGGTGGCTCTCTGTGGCCCCGACCCCTTACATCAGCAGTCCTCCCCCCGTGTACACAAAGACATAATCCATTTCTCCAAGGAACCACTCTGCCGAGTATGGAAAAAAAAAACTCCGGCAGATGTAGAGACTTTTTAGACAAAACCTTTTTTTTTTTCTCTTTAAATTTTTTAAAAGAATTTTTGTCAAATAATTTTCACTGTAAATTACTTGCACTCAATTTTTATTTTAAAAGCCTTCAATAAAGCTTTGAATTTATTTTTGAATCACAGACTGTAACATGTACCTGAGGAATGTTGAAAAACTTTATAGAAAGGTATTCCACAAAATGCAAAAATCCGTCAAGCAAGGGTGGATACACGGTTTGCAGATAAACTTGAAGAGATTAATTTCTCTGTTATTTTGGATATATTACAGATAGAGGAGAGGATGGTTTAAAAGTCCAAGAAAATCTGTGTGAAGGAAATAAAGTCAAGGTCGTGAGACATTCACAATTTGATGCTAAGATATATATGTGAAGTTATAACTCTGCCGCGTGTCATTTTCTTCCAGGCGGGTTTCGAAGGGAACAATCCATCCTCCAAAATGTTCAATATTGAAATAATGGGTAACAAAATGTATGATTGGAGAGGCCTTGTAATATTAGGGAAAAAACAAAACGAATATCCAAGAGGTCATAAAGATTGGAAAAAAGTCTTGCAAGTGATTCTATTTTTAATTGTTATTAATATCTTTGAATTCGATGAAATATATGGAGATAGCAAACAGTATTCAAGATCAAAAGTCCATAACACAATACAAAATAGGAGCGGACCTCCAAAACATCAGAGGTTGGATCAGTTGCCATGGAGGAGTAAGCATCCCCTGCCGACCGGCCACACCCGCCGTGTGCTCCTTGTCATGATCAGGAAATAACGGAAAAATCCGTCGTCAATTTAGTGTATAAATAATGGACTAACAATTAGTATGAAAAACATCAGTCAGCATTTGACTCAATGATAAATTGTATTTGCTGACAAGGTCATTGTATCGACCATATAACTTTCCAAATGATGACTTTAAACGAGACTGCTGAAATTCTTGTTTCACCAACTTGTTTGTCAATAATTTACCTCGTTTTAGAAATTGTTCATGCGTAGAGCATGCTCTTGCGTATCAAATCAACTGAGATATATAAACTCCGCACGCAGATGATGAAGGTATATTGCTGTATAAGTAAGGGAAGTTGATGATAGAAAAGTTAAAAGTCGTCACTTTTATCATAGAGCTTGGTTGTTAGATTACCATTAACGTCTTTCAAGTAAAATATCTAAAATGAAACAAATTTGTCAGACTCTGTGGTATCTTTTATTTCAAGCTTATCAGGATGATCGACATAAGAATGGAAATTACTATTGTTAATGGACAATGCGTCGTCGATATATCTTAATGTCGAGTTGAAGGCCACAGCAAGTGTTTTCTTCTTTTCACGCCTAGAAGATTCTCAGTGAAATTTAATGAAACTTTCACAAAATCTTTATTACAAGGCACCTCCTATTTTACTTTCTAATTTTGTGCACAAATTCTGCTTCACATGAATACAAAAATAGATCTGCTAATAACGTGTTCCATTTTTATTCATAAAGCAGCTGTTAATGATATCGAAAAGCCTGGACTTTAGTTCATCGTGGGGAATGGTTGTGTATAAAGATGAAAAGTTTTTTATGCTGTTGATTTTGGTCAAATCTTGTGATTTCAAATTGTCCAAAAGTTCCTTGGAATTTTTAAGTATCCACATCTGATTTACACCACTTCTTGACTGTATTGTTGCACAGTATTCTTGAATTTTCTCCATCACTACTGTTCATATTTTAGTGAGGAGTAAAGAAAGAGGCTTGGTTGAACATTTACTGGAACCCGCTACATGTACGTATCTTTGTTTGTAAGGATTCTTATGAAGTTTCGGAATCTAATATACATTTATACATGGTAGTTCAAATTCATTTTAGTTCTTTGGGATATTAAAAACATTCAAAACTAACATATGATTTTGAAGAATTTCTTCCCTAGAAAGGGAACTATGAGTATAAGTCGGATTACCACTTGTAGAATAAAAACCAAGTTCTTCTAAAAGACAATTTATATAATGAGCCTTACAAACAAAGTCAGTGTTGTTACCTATGGCACACCAAATTCACAAAAATGAGCTAAACATAGATTCATATTTGATAAACTAGGTTTATTGACTGTAGACTATAGTTTACAAACCGTGAACTATAGAAAACGATTCGTTAACTACAGTTTTTATCTGTAAAACTATATTTAAGAGTTGTAAACTATATTTTACGAATGCTAATGTACGTTTATCTGTCTGTAATTAAATGTTAACAATAGATTTTGTTGATAAACATAGATTCACGTCTGTAAACTATAATTTACGATCGTGAACTATAGTTGAGTTGTTAATTATAGTTTCATAAATCGTGAAACTATATTTATCAGATCGTTAACTATAGTTAAGAGTTGTAAACCATAGTTTACAAATCGTAAAACTGTATTTATCAGATAATCTATGTTTTGCAATCGCAAATGATTGTTTTCAGTGTTAAGTATAGTTAGAAAATTAAAGGAGACTTACCTGTAAGGTGAACTTTAATTGAAATTCTCCGAAGCACCAAGGAACGTTGGGTATTACGTGAGATATGCAAGCCTACTCCCAGATCAGTATTTAACTCAATATGTGAATATTCTTGATAATATGCAATTTTACAGATGCTACATTTTTATCTATTAATAAATTTATCACCCAAGTTCCCATGGGAGGGAGATCAAGGGTGGGCACGTAATACCCAACGTTCCTTGGTGTTTCGGAGAATTTTAATTAAAGTTCACCTTACAGGTAAGTCTCCTTTAATTTTCTAATTCTCCTTCACCACCAAGTCACGTGGGTATCACGTGAGATGTTTAAAGCAAATATTCACATATTGAAAATAGGAATTATACAAAGTAAAAGAATTCCTATAACTGTCAAAAATTTATTGAATATTCATATCATCTAAGCTACATGTTGAAGACAAAATTGCAGACTGAAAATTTTTATCATTATGTAAAACAGTTTTGTCATAAAATTTTGCAAATGTTTTCTCATTAGACCATCCAACATGTGATAAGATATTGTCAACTGAAATCCCTGAAGAACGTGCGGCGGCGCTTGCAGCAGCGCGAGTGCTATGTCCAGAAAACTTGCTGGTATCAATGCCAGATTTAGATAACAGAGTTCTTATCCAGCGAGAAATACTGTCCTTCGATGCCTCTCGAAACGGCTTTTGGGTTGTCAAAAGATATATATATATATTTCCATTACCTCTATATTTTTCCGTTTTTGTTATATACACTTTAATACATGACACAACACAAAGCATCTTATCCGGAAATGCTAAAACTGTAATTGGTTTTATATGATAAGATGGCCTAGATTGTTTTACAAGATTATTTACACAAAACACAATTCTATCTTCATAAACATGCATATTTTCTAAATCTAAAAGTGACAAAGTTTGTGCTCTCTGTCCTGTTACTAACGCTAATAGCATGACAAGCTTCAATGTCAAATCAAACACTGATAAAACTTCATTTTCCCCCATACTGCGAATAAACGATAAGACCGTGCTCACATCCCAAGTCTCTGTATACCGCGGTAAATTAGGACGGTCGATAAAGACTCCTCTCATGAAACGTCTAATTAGCGGATCAGAACCAATAGCCACATCATTAACAGGTGGTAATAAACAACTAAGAAAACTCCTGGCGGAATTTATCGTACTATATGAATATCCTTTATCAAAAAGTTCGGTAAGAAAATCCAAGACAACTGTTATTGAAAAAGTATCAGATACATGGATAGATTTGCGATTTAGAAATTCTAGCCACTTTTTCATATGCGAATCATACTGTTTTTTAGTTGACGCTCTCCAAGAGTTCATAAGAACCGGAATTGCTTTCTCTGAAATACCTTTGGATTGATACATTTTCCAGATATGTGACATGCCAGAAGACGCAGCTTTGGGTATAATTTGTGAACTTTTTGAGGACGATGAGGTAATACCAATGTGTCCCGGGACTGAGGAAGAATAAGAGGTGCATCGACACACAGTTTCATCAGGAATGGATTCCAACTCGCTGTTGGCCAATCTGGAACAATAATAATTGCAGCTGGTACTTGTTCTTCCACAATCTTTTTCAGAATTCGCTGGATCAAACTAAATGGAGAAAAAATATACATGTACACACATGAATACAAATTCCAGGAACATGTGAAAGCATCAGTAGCACTAGCACTCGGATCAGGGTGCCATGATATGTAATTAGTTAACTGATTATTCACTCGAGATGCAAATAAGTCGACAACTGGTCGAGAAAAGATACTGGTTATCTTCAAAAACAATTTTCTTTTTAACATCCATTCCGTGTCATCGCGAATTTTACGGCTTTCTACATCGGCTACATCATTTAATGAGCCCTTGATATGGACAGCGGTAAGGAACACATTATAACGATAAGCCAAAAGCCAAATGTCTCTTGTTAATTGGTTACAAATCACGGACTGAGTTGATCCAAAATGATTTATGCAGGCTACGGCCGTGGAATTATCAATGTGCAGTTTCAAATGCTTATCTCCAATTTTATTCTTGAAGGGCCGGAGAGCTAAATAGACGGCAAACAGTTCTAAATGTGAGGATAATTAGAGCTGTCCATCTGCGACCAGTGTTCCCCAGTCCGTATATCACCCAGAACTGCTCCCCAGCCAACAGTTAGAGAAGCATTGGTAAACATTTCCAGAGAAGGTGAATCTCTTCGAATGGGTGATTCCATACATTCTATGTTTTCATACCACCACTTCAGATCACTAACAGAACTATCAGATATGCACATGACCGCATCAAAATTTCCTTTATTTATTTTTAATGCTTGAATCTTTTCAATTTCGAGGCGCTTGCAATACAAAGATGCTAAGGGACAAGCAAGGACATTAGAATTTAACATGCCTAGCAATTCTGACACTTCTCGAATGGAATTTCTTCGTTTACTCAAAATCGTATCTATTTTAACTTTGAGCTTCTCTATCCTTTTAGGCGGAATCTTGATAGTCATAGTTTCTGAACAGATTATAAATCCGAGAAAAGTAACAGTTCTTGCTGGGATCATGACCGATTTTTCCTGGTTGATGACAAAACCCAAGTTTTCTAAGATTTCTACAGTGTCATTTATATTTTCCAAGCACATATCA